CATTTTCTATTAAAGAAACCTTGTTTTAGCTACATTATGATCTTCCCAACATCCAACCATTCTGGCAGGCTTTTTGCAACAGACTAAAAAATTCTCGATGAAATAGACTTAAACACATGTTCCAAGATCAAGGCTAATGAAAATAGTTTTGTCCTATTTGTTTCTTCCTTCAGTGCCTGGGGCACAGGAGCTTGAAATTTCACGTTAGTGAGCAAGTGAAAAGACATAGCATATGTACAGAGCACAGATTACCTCAGGTTATTCTCCTCATAAAAGCAAACCATAACAAGCTAAACCATATTTTAATGTATTTCTATGTGGGAAGGGCTAAGCAAGCCCCCAGTAAGACCCAGCAATCTCCCATCCCGTCATCCAACTCTGCTCTCACCTTTCAAGTGCCCCCTCTCCAAAATGGGGATAGAAGAGCCAGCTGGAGACACCAGAGGTGCACTATGGCTGTCACATATAGCACTGGGCACAATAAATCCAGCAGCCTGGGGACTGAAGGTGAGATGGCTCCTCTATATGCCTCATGCCAGGCTGCTGCACGACCAGCTTCCACTTGATGGTCTTGGGGAAGCTATTTTTCTGGTGTTTTGGATAAAATACAAAACACTTGTCTTTAAGAAGCAGGGGTGGAGAGCTCAGGCTGCAGAGGAGGCTGGTGGGCTGACAGGGACACCGATTCCTTCTCCCAAGATGGCGGCACTGTGGCTGCACAGGGGGAAGATGGCTCCTGCCATCAGGCTGGGGTGTGGGTGCTGATTTTCAGGCAGACCAGTACAGAAGCAGTGAAGGGACTAATCTTGTAAGAGAAAGGCACCAAGAGCAGTTACCAGCTGTGATGGGCAGCCAAGCTCCAGACCCACAGATTCTGCAGCGCCCAGTTCAGCTCCAGAGCCCCTGGCAGTGCCCCTGAGGGGCTGGCTGTTGTGGTGGGCAGCTCAGGACCACTATGCCCACACCTGCCTGTGGCCTCCAGCTGCGGACCAGCAGCCACCATGGCTAAAAACATATCAAGAACAGCTGAACCCTGCTGAGGCGAATGGTCCCTGCCTATACCTGGGCCAGGAGCTTAACTCCACCTTTATTTTTCAGCTTGACCACTTGAGGAAACAGGCCAGCTCCCCCAACAGCTCTTGGAGCTGTGGGGTACCTCCAGCCAGATTTGGGTGAAGCATGGTAATCTCAAAGCTAATTACGATTCCATTTAATTAGCAGCCATGGATGCAGTTGGGTAGAGGGAAGTGTTCTGATAGAGGGAAATTGTGTTTTGCCAGGAGCTGCTGTTGCTGTTGCTGTTGCTGTTGCTGTTGCTGTTGCTGTTGCTGTTGCTGTTGCTGTTGCTGTTGCTGTTGCTGTTGCTGTTGCTGTTGCTGTTGCTGTTGCTGTTGCTGTTGCTGTTGCTGTTGCTGTTGCTGTTGCTGTTGCTGTTGCTGGTCCCCTTAGCAGTAGAAGCAGCATGAACCTAGCTTTAAGCCAGTGGCTGTAACTACCCATTGGAAAGACACTTGTTAGTTGCGCTGATTAAAAAGTAATTTACTGCAATTTATTTTCATTTGGTTCCCAAAAGGATGGGGGAAAGAAGTAAGTATTCTTATAAAGAGGTGTCATAATGCAAGTCCATGGTGAAGCAAATCAGGGATGTACAGGCAATATTTGCCTTTATGTTTTCTGGCTTCTTAGTGTTTGGGCTTAAACCTTACTGTATTGTTCTTTTAATCCTTATGCAAATTATTTATTTAAATTTGTTTGTATACAAACCTTGCAGTAGGTTTCTTCAAGTCTGTAATGCTCTTCCAGCCTCTAGTTAAATCATTTGTTCTCGCTTTCAGTCACTTGAAAGACATGACCCTTTTTATATTAACAATGAGAATATTTACATAATGCTTTCATTGCAAAGCCTTTACGTCGGAAAGCAAGTGCTATGCCCATCAGTGCAGCTCAGATTTCTACTACTTATTAATACAGCTAAAATACAGAACTGGACTTGTAAACCTACTATGCTCCTGTATAAAGTCATGGAATGGTTTAGGCACACAGACAGGAGCTATTTAATTAAAACTACTGCAGGAAGCTAAACAGAACTAAACTATTAAAGGGATTTGACTGAGTCACAAGTATTAATACTTGTGTCAGTTAAGTTTCTGTGTTACCAGGAGAATAGCACCATTTTTTGTATTCCCTTGAATTTTATTTTAGTATGGGCGAAAAGAAGATCTTACTGACTTGCCTATTCTCCATATACTAATTGTTGTGTTTGAACCTGTTGCTCAAATACCAGTTTCTGTAGTGTAACAGGAACACAGCCCACAACATGATGACTGCAGACTGAATTTGAGCTTTTGTGAATAACAGCCTTGCCTTGCTACAACATATTCTGATGCCTTTCTGGGAAATATTTCTGGGATGCCTCTTTGTAAATATTCTTTATAAATGTTAACCAGACCGGTATTTGTGGAGTGTATACCCTTATACTGTCTGGTCTAGTGATAATACAGATTTTCTTTTTTGATTCTACAGATTTTCTGTTGTGGAGAAAGACTCAAAAGACTATGGGGTTTTGAGGTTTTTTTTAGTTTGCTGAGAAGTTGAAGAGTGAAGTAGAGAAGACAACGGCTTTTTGTACTAAAACTCTTGAAAAGCTTTAATCACAATTCTGGTTCACTTCAAGACACCAAATCTTATCTTAGCCTTTTATATAAGAGTGCCAGTGCACAGGATTTCTAGCTCTGGCATCTCCTGGTGTGGAGTATTTGCTCTAGCTAGCAGGTGAGGAGATACTGAGTGAAAATGAACAATGAGCCTGAATGAGATTGAAATCTTGGGACATTCCTGTTACTAAAACCTTTTAACTATCTTGCCTCCCCACAAAAAAAAGGGACTAACACCTAGGTGAAACTACCTTAGGCGTCTGCATTTTCTCACAAGGAAATTTTTCAGCCTGGAACACTCTGAGAGGTAAATTGGGTTTGATTTTTTTTTTTTTTTTTTTATTTTTGTTTTAATTTTTTTTTCATCTCTATTGCTAAAGAGTCCCAGGAAGGGATATAGAAGGAGAAGGCAGCCATTTATTAGAAAGCTGACTCATAAAAAGTTACCCACAAACTAACTAGCAATTTCTATAATTAAGATTGCATTAGCAGAATAAACCCAGTTCAACTTGTCTCTTCATAAGAATGAGGAATTCCAGAGAGAGACATATTGCAAAGTGAGTCAGTACTGGCGTTGATAACTTGCACAATAAATCAAGTAAAACTGGAGATTCTGGAAACTTTTATGCCTCATCTAGTTAAAAAAACTTCAATGCACGTAATAAAATAATATTGAAAATTTCTTACAGAAATTTCCTATTGTAGTATATTCTAGTAAAATATTAAAACTCAAAAGTAACCATATAGCTTTTGTTTTTTTCTCTGTAAATGCAGGACCTTCATAATATAACTTTTCAAGCATTTATGGGTTACACAGTATTCAAATAGTTAAAAGCTGAGGCCTGAAGGCATTGCTATGATAATTCTACATGAATGTCTTCTTTCTTGTGAGTGTTCTGCATGAAGGCCCAAATTCCCAGATGAAAAAATAGAAGGTAAGTGTTCCAATATTCCTGGGCCAGGACCTATAGTCTTTATTGGAATGATAGCATACATTATAGTGAAAAACTTTGTTACAACATGCGTTAAATAGGATCTGTAACTGAGATCTCACACCAAAAATCATATATGATATATAATATGGTTCTCATCTGTCGGTGATATTAATCCAAGCAAACATAATGTAAATGTTCTATAATGCCTCATTTCCCTTTAGGCATACTGCAGTATACAAGGCATAGCAGCTGGCTGGATAAAAAGAACATTGCTGCTTAAGTAAGATTTAATTTGGCTTACATCCCTGGACTTAAGTGCTACATTTGCAGCTTCCCTTGTAGACTTGATCCTGACTTCACATGAATTACAAATACATATAACCTCATCTATACCCCTGTCATGCTTTCACCCCAGCCAGCAGCTAAGTGCTGGGCAGCCACTGGCTCGATTCTCCACAGTGGGATGGGGAAGAGAATTGGGGAAAAAAGGTATATAATGTGAGTATTTGCAACTTCCTGTCTGGCTTCCTCTCTGCCCATTCTTTATAGTAATATGCTTGATTTAAATTCATTCCTTCCAGTCTTTATAATATTTCATTTAATTTTACCTTTTCTCTCTTCTCTCTCTCCCCTCCCCCCTTTTCTTTCTACTGTCTTTTCTTTGGTTTTGTTTTTCTTCTTTCCTCCATTACAGTTCTGCCTCTCCTTCAAAATGGCTTATCTCCATTTCACGCTGCTTCACACATTGTTGCTGTTCAGAACAGCAACAGAACAGGACCTTGTGACAGAGCTCCTTTGTTTTGTTGGGTTTTGGTTTGGATATTTTTTTGTCAGAGAGATGCAAAAGACAACTCCTTAGTTTTTCAGAGCAAACTCATATATTCAGACTTTGTTATAAACAGTTCAAACTAAATTCAAGGTCAGAAAGACTGCAGCTAACAGAGCTAATTTCCCACATCATTTAACCTTTTTAATATGTATTTTTCCATATTTGCCTATACAGAAATGAATACACTCTTGCTGATGCTAATGTTACTTGGATTTTATTTATAAAACCATTTTATTTGTATGAACTTTTATTATAGGAAAATGGATTTTTATTACAGGAAAAGGGGGCTTATATTAATTTACAATTATCATTTCAATAATAATTTAATAACTGTTAATTATTGGAATAATTTATTGTGGGGAAAAGCAAAAAAAGCCATGGTAAATGGATTGAACAGGTAGTATGCTCCCTTTTAGGGTTAAATACAATAATTTATAATCTGGCATTTTGTCCTGTGTTCTGTGTAGAGTAAAATCTGTTCCTGAAACCTTTTAAATCTTACTACTAAATATTATTTATTAAATAATATTTATTAATTATTAACTATTATACTATTAAATCTTATACTACTGTGCAAAAGAGACCTCAAAAAATTTCCTGAGAAGCTGTAACTTATCATCCCTTCCCTGTGTCACTGACAGCAGCAAGAAATTGTACACACGGAAGAATACTGACTGCAATTCTGATGGTGTGGGAGGTGGCCACAAGGTAATGCAGAACTTGCCTGTAGTTAAAGCTCTTGTAAGTAGGGAGAGGCCTTGTTGGTATCTGTCACTGAAGATGTGCTTGTCATTTGGCCGTTTTAAAACTAATCTCTCTCTAGAGTACACCTGCAGTTACATACCAAATCATTTTACAGATCATGTCACTCTACAGGGCTTATACACAAACAGTACTGGAAGTCAAAGGTTGCCCTTGAAAATTAATCTCCACATTAATCATAGGTAAACTCTAAGTGAACTGACACTAGCCTTTGAAAACATACTTTAAATTTCTGATAGTATCTTTGTTCTTCAAGACATTTTATAAATTATTCTGTTTACAAAGATGACAAATTAGTAAGATCCAGTCAGCTCCAAGGTAGAAAAAAATAATCACCTGTCAAGGAGTAACTAGAAGTTCCATTGTTCATGTAAAAGGAATTTTATCTCAATCAACAGTGGCAAATCAGCTTCCTGCTATGAAAAAAATGAAGACATGAGTTAGTATCTTTAAGATACCTTTCAGCAAGCTCAATAAACTTTCATTACAAGTTTTACTTGCTTTCTTTCAAACCAGCAGGTTCTGGCATAATGTAAACTAGGATTTACTTTATATTTACTTTATCATAACTTATTAAAAAGCAAGATGTGAAAAGTAAATCAACATCACATCTCAGTGCATAAAAGCACAGACTAATAAATCAGATGCGTTGCTCCTTCCAGCCAAAACCCACCAGCTGCATTTCTTATCCTGATTACATCACTTTGAGTAGTATTTCCAAAGTCTGCAAGAAAGCCCAAAATAAACAACCAAATTAACTTATTGTTTAGTATACTTAAGAGAAATATCTGAATTTTCTATAATGTGAAAGAGAAATCTCAGGTTGAATAAGTGGTAAGATTCTGTAATGATTATATTTTTGATTGTAGCAACAATACTTGCCTTTCTTTATTCCTTCTTGAAAGAAACTCCTTCCTATTTCAAAGCTTACAGGTTTCAACACACTGCAGCATCCTCTTCTCCCTGCCACTTTTGCTACCAAACTTTATGCTGCTTTTCTTGTAATGGTTTTTGCTTGTCTCTGTCATATATATTTCAAACAATGACAAGGAAATATAATAGAAAATAATGTTGTTACCTCTTGTTGTATGTTTGGAAAAGCATGGCAAACCTCCTTTTTGATTGTATTTTATATGGTTACTTTTGTACCTTATTTGATTGGCAAGTGATGACAATCTTTGTCCTTAGTGACTTTCCTAACCCCTCAGAAAAGAATCCAGAGCTTATGTAATTTATTATTGTTGGGGGCACTGTTGGGGTTTTAAAATAATGGTTATTGTAGTCTAAGGATATGGAAGAAGCAAGACTTCCAGGAAAAGGTAATAACATTTAGCAGAGGAATTGATTCAGACTGAGAAATGGAAAAGCTTTCAAGGGCCTTTCCTCACAAATATTTCCTCTTATACTACTTCTAAAATCTGTGTGAAACAAGGAAGGGTATTAGGTACTGTAAATCTACAGGATGAGTCTGACCTTGAGTCTCAGGCTCAGCAAAATATTTAGCAAGTCTTTGTGACTCCTATCTACAGCTGAAAAAATATTATGAGTATTCAGTAAATTATTTAGTAATATATTCTAATGTTATTACAACACAGTGTCAAACGGAATTCCAAGCTGGATTTCACACATAGTTACTGGGGCTTAACTAGAAGAATATCATCTGCTGCTCCTAAAACATCTTTGACCTTCAGGTTTACCGAACCCTGAACGAAATACCTCGCTGACTGACTGGCAGGAGCGAAGGGTGCAAGGCAAAGAGCTAAAAGCATTGCAGAGCCTCGCTAGCTCAACCAGACTTCGGGTCTCAGGTGAGTTACATTTTTTTTTATCTCCTTTCCCATTCTCTCTAATCCTATTCTCCATCTTCCTTATCACTATGAGTCTCCAAATCCTTATGAAGCGTTCTAAGGGACACTGCAATATATTAATGTAAGAAAATATGACAAAATGAGAAGAGATGTCTAGGGACTATTACATGGACAGTTCACAAGGACACAATGTTAATATACAAATTGGAAGTTCGTGAAGTCAGTTCAGCCAGCACAACTATTCCTGCCAAAATTAATAGCGAATATGGAGTAAAAACAGCGGGGTTTTGTTTTCTCTGCAAAACTGGCCATCCTCACCAAAACTCTTCCTGAAACTATACCATTATATCGATAAAACACTAACATTTAATGAACAAAAGAGAACAGTCAAATCTACCATTCAGGCATGCAAAACCTGTGAATCCTGATTGCATCCCAAAACAATTGAAGAAACTGACCAGAGAAAATAAGAAAATCTTTTAAGATCTATGTTTGGAAAGCTTAGAGATATGCAAAATCATATAAGGTTTTGGATTGGAAGGGACCTTAATATCATCTTGTTCCATCCCCTCTGCCATGGCAGTGACACCTTCCACTAGACCAGGTTACTCCAAGCCCTGTCCAACCTGGCCTTGAATGCTGCCAGGGATAGGTGCAGCCACAGCTTCTCTGGGCAACCTATTATGCCAGTAAGAACTTCAAGTCCTCAAAAGTCTCTAAGATGGTACCATGAGTAGTTTTGAAAACCCCAGTTAAGAGAATGGCGCATTTTCAACACAGTTTTGCAACTGGAATTTGGGTGTAAGCAATTAGAAGAGATTAAAAACTAACAACCCTCCTCCCCCTCCCCCCCCCAAAAAAAAAACCAACACCCAACCAACCCTCTCCCCCCCCCCCAAAAAAAAAAAACAAAAAAACAACAAAAAAACAACAAAAATCAACCAAAACAAAAAGACAAGCAGTTTGAAGTAGAAGAGAGCTTTGGCTATTGGCTCTCAAAAGTGAATTGCAAGTAAAGGGCTGCTCTGCTGTCACTGCGAGTCACACCGTTAGCCCCCGTTTACGCCTCTATAAATCCAGGCAACCAAGCCCAGCGTGCTGTATAGCCACAGAAGGTAGCTGCAGTCTCTTTTTGTTGCTTATTTATCTTTTCATGTGAGCTTTGTTCTGCTTTCTCCTTCCCTAATAATAATTTGTCATCTTGAATGCTGTCAGAAGCACTAACACCACTGATCTTCAAGTTTATGGGTTCCCTTTCTCCTGGAGCTGAGAAGAGGTTCTTCTATTCCATACAGACTCCCAGCGGGCTCATTTGTATGAGCAGATCAACGGGCGGGAACCGTTCCCGGGCGGACTCCAGCTTCGGGGCAGCTGTTTCCCAGCCGGCGGTAAAAGCTGTGGGGAGGGGATGCTCCCGCAGCGCCGGCAGCATCAGATCTGGGTTGCTGATACGGACCATCGGTGCCGCCGTCTGCTTCCAGAGATCGTCCGGAGTGGGACAGATGGGGGAAAGTGGTTTTACCTTTGCCTGGAGCTTTCTTCGTATTCAACTTTCTGGGGTGTCTCCTTGTATTGAACTGCCTGGGAAAACCGTTTTATTCAGTCAAAGCGCTACCTTGACGTTTCAGTCAGTGAAAAGAGCTGTTATTTCATGGGTAGATGCTTAAACAAAATTTTCTTGGCCAGGAAGAAACATATGCAATTAGAATTTGGTCTGAACCCCCCTGTGTTTGGAGTACAGACCCGGCTCCCATTCAGTGCCTCCAGGCATTCCTGGATTACAGTGGGGACAGAGCCTTGGGTACCATGGTCTTGTGCGAGGCATCCGTGCCCATAGCAGGGGGGTTGGAAGTAGATATCTTAAGGTCCTTTCCAACCCAAACCATTCTGTGATTCTACGATTTCCAGGCTGCCACAAGGAAAGGTTCTTTGAAAAGCTAGTGCACACACCTTTTGTTAGCCCAGTGTGCCTTAAAAGGAAACCAGTGTTGAACGCTGGTGCCCCAAACCTATTTTTCTAGGCATGATCACTGAAGAAGTGTTTATTGTACCTAATAAGGGAATATTCAAGACGTCACAGTTGCTCAGTATTCAAAGGCATGGAGATTCGAACTTGATCATTTGTAGCCATTTAGCCGTTACTAAATGATATTTGCTGCCACTTATTGGCACAGCTTCTGCTTCCAAAAAGCAAGTTCATAACTTTTCCATATATAATCTTGTTCTCTAGATTTTGAAGTATTTTGCTCTAGATAGGTTATTGTTCTGAATTTTGAAAGCGCTGACATTCTTCAGATGATGGTGGAGCATCTTTGTAGGATGCTATCGGTGAAGGAAGGGAACATGGAGAAGATGAGGAAAGATTTTTCTATTTGAGAAGACATGCTGGGTGCATCTGCAGAAGAGATCTGTTGTTTTCCTCAAAAAAAAAAAAACACATGCTGATGAACCTCTGCCATAGGGTGATTGTTTTGTTTCTCTCCAGTCTCCAACCATAGGCCTCTTGCTTCCAAACTAGCTTCTAGCATGTGAACCTGACAGTCGGTAAGTGGCCTTATAAACTGTAGGGTCTGGCAGAATGCTTATTTGAGGGATTAGGGTCTGGAGCCTGCAATGTCCACAACCACAAACTAAGATATGTTTCAAAGCCAAACAAAAAATACATCCTCATAAAAACTAATCCCAATAATTAATGTAATGAAACTTGGGGATTTCTAAGTAGCCAAACTTTGTAGCCAGGTTCTCGTGCCAAGATGCAGTCCTTCTTGTGCTTTAGACATAAGACAGTAGAGATGATACAGAAATAAAGTTTTATTTAAAATACTTGCAAATTAAAAACTCATGTGGTCAGGTGGAGCAGCCAGGTGGCTGCCACAGAGCCTCTCACCATCACGTGTTGCAGAAGTCTGTCTTCCACAAATGTGGTCAAATTAAAAATGAATTCAAGAAATGCATTAATTTGCTTAAAATTTTTAGTGAGTATGACAATTTTTATCTTGAATAAAGACACAAGTATTTCTCAGCTACATGGATAACCTTTTTTAAGGTAGAAGCATTAAGAATTAGGCTTGTTTTACTTAGGGCTCAGCAATGGATTCATCAGAATGATCAACAATTGAAAGTGAACAGAAATCCAGGTAACTTATGTTACAAAGGTTATACAAAAGTGACTCTTAACGAAAATCTGAAAATACAGTGGAAATACATCCCTGAAAATTGGATACGAGATGAACATCATGCTTGAAAACTTGAACTAATCCCAGAAATAAGTTTCTCAACTGAGTGCTTCATACTTGGTTAAGCACTTTGTAAACAAACAGTTTGTGCTGAATGTAGCAGGAGGGCATGGGGATTCTCAGCAATGTGTCCTGTGTAGGCATTAGCTAGCAACCTTATCTACATGTCTATTAATTGCTTTGGCTAAGGCCGTTTCATGTAAAACATTATGGTTTCAGCGGATTGTGAAATAAAAGGTGTTATTTCCATATTACATCCATATTACCAGATTAACAGGAATCAGAAATCTGTAAAGGTAGTTCTGCAAGTCAAGGGTGTTACTAAATCCTTGACTGTGTACAGTGTCATCACTGTATGATTTGAATGCATTTTCACTTATTTGCAAAGTAACCATAAAAGCCAGACTTTCTCAACAACAGTTGTTGTGCTAGCTTGTGTGGTGAATACTGACGTAGAACCAAATACACCTCGGAGAGTCATCTGTGGTCAGTAACACCTGAAGAGTGGGCAGGATGAACCCTTGATCAGAACAAGCACAAATGTTCTTATGGTTGTGTCTCCTAAAGTAAAAACAAATGAGAATAAATATTACTGCTTTTCCCAGAAAACCAGGAATTTGTTTCTTTTGAAGTACTGTAAATGTCTCTTTGAAACAGTTGTGCTTACTTTCCATCAGACATGTATTAGGTAAATGATTGGACAGTCCTGTTTTCAAAAATTCATTTGAAATGGTGTTTGGCAAGCCCAGCGGACTGACAATTAGTAATTGTCAAGTTACAGTTTTACATCTGCTGCTTAGAAAGTTTTGAGCTGAGAATTTCCATGGTTTTAAGTGGAATAAAAATTGTGCATTGTAGCCTTCTCTTTTTTAAAGCTGTAAATGTGTTGTGTATGTAAAGATTGAGAGTCACACACGTTGCTCTGTGGGCACTTCCACACTACTAAAACTGTTCCAGAAGCAGTTGCAAGTTTTCTCTGCCTGTGCTTCAAGCCACTTGGACCAAGCTCTTCATGAAGCCTCAACAGAGGTAACATTTGAATCTCTCAGGAATTACTTGTGTCATACCCACAACTCTCCTCTAGTTTTCTCTAAAATGAAGGGCTTTCTGTTCTCATCAGCTGAACGGCAGTTAGGCAGTTGGAGGTTGAACTCCTCAGGGCTCTGTCAGCACAAGGCTGCTTACAAGCTTCGATGCAGCTTCCCAAGCCATCAGAAGTGTTGTGTCACAGTTACAGAACTCATGTCATGATAACGTGCGTATTTTACACCTTTACCATGAGTATTTGTTTGCATTTGTCAGCATGTTGAGATCATACAGGGAGAAAAGGATGCAATAGTGATGTACCAGCAAGGACACGACATACATATACACAAGAGCTGACTTGTTTGAAGTGGGTTTCTATGGAAATAGTTTAAACATTGTTTAAATCCAAATAGTATGCTGCCAATTCTCTCAGCAAGCAGATAATGGATAGTCTCAATGCAGCAGAATTAAACCCAGTTAGTATGTAAGTATGTATCTGGATACAATTTCTAGTATGCAAGTTTTACCTAATTTGAACTACTCCAATCATTGAGCACATTAACTCTTAGGGTTTTTTTTGATGAGGTGGTGTTACTTCACCTACCACTGAATTGTCTCAGCCCTAAAATGATAAAATTACCAACCCAGTTGCCAGCACTGGTAATCATCTTGGATTTTCTAAGCTGCCTCTTACCTCAGTGTCTGCAAGCGAGCACCTTCAGGGCCATATTGTTTTGACACTGACACATTTGTATCTGGCAGTCCTGGAGGGTTGATTCAGTCAGGTATCTCTGCTTATGTTCCCCATGGATTTGATCTGTTATGCCTGCGGAGGTCACATCACACCACCAAAATGTGGACGTACAGGGAGTGGAAGTGGTGGGCCTGTCACGACCTTGCTATCTGAATCATGGTATGTCAACTCTTTACTCCCAGGTCACAGAAACAGCTTCTGCTTGTTCTCTAGTATGTATGTGTACAGAATGAAGAGCTTAGAAGTAAGGTGCATGCTTCTTTCTGGACTAATTACTGAGATGGGTCAAGTTTTTGTGGTGTGTGGGGTTTTGTCCCTTAAGTAGATAAAGACCTGAAGACATTATGCCAAGAAAAGTGATCTGACATACCACATGAACACTGTATTCCTCTCTCCTAAACCCATACTTGGCTTTTTATATGCGGTACAATTGCTAAGGATCTCAAGTATCAGTTCTCAAGGCTTGATCTGTTGGGTTTTTTTTAAAGGTAAAAATCAAAAGCAAGACCAGCCTGAATATAGACCACACTCATCCTTTCCCTTTGAGAGACTGTATTTATGCATACATTACTTCTGAAAGTTAAGTCTTTTAGTGGCAGCACTAAAAGACTCTCACCTCTACAATTTGCTTCTCTAGTCAACATGAATGTGTTTTTTTTGAGAAGTGATAGTCATGGTATTTTGGATGCTGATGGATCAGCTTGGAACACAAACTGTTGCTTCAAGTTGCAGCAAAATAAATCAGATGAGCTATTTATGACACTGATTACTGCAGTTATTTATGCCTATGTAACTCCTTATCCTGTGCCTGCAGTCAGATCCAGGGTAGGAAATCACATTCCCTTCTTTGGTGAGGGAAGCTTATGCCTAGCATTGGCAGTTCTGCTGTCCCTGCAGTCACTGCTGCACTGCAACTTGTACAATAGCTTCCCCTGACTCAAGTGCCACTTACTTGTATGCTGAAAAGTAGATGATGCGTAAGTAAAGGGGTTATTTTAATTCCTAACATGCACCATAAGAAGGTAGAAGTGCCTGGTTTTGGTTTCCTCCCCCATCAAAGAATCTTAGGGATGGGACTGCTTTGTAGCTACCTTAGGGTTTGAAATACAGTCAAAAGGGACACCTTGAAACTTGGCTGTTCCATTTACCTGTTAAATTAAAGAGTAACTTGTTCAAGGCCCCATTACTATTACCTGAGCACTGTGAAAGAGCTAACTTACAAAGTGGTATGTCAAACGATGTTTGCCAATTCTACTGGGGGTGGCTCTTTAAAAATAAGTATAAATGGAAGACATTTAGTAAAAAAAACCCACTTGTTGACCATTTCTTGTCCTGTGTAATGATGGTGATAGGACATTTCTGATGATGGCATTCACTCCCTTAATAAAATACTTAAAGCTAAACAGACCACTGCTGTATAGTACCTAAAAGATGTACCTTTCACCATTCTTCAGACCATTCAATTCTTTGCTGTATTTTCCTATTTCAGCAAATAGTTAAATAAGCAAAAACCAACCCAAACTTCAGTATTTGAAATACAGCATCTGATGTAGCTCGAAGAGCTCTGAAATATCACCAGAGGCTGCTCTTCTGTTCATCCTTCCGACTACTATAAGTATTTCCACATCTGTCAATGGAGCCTGAATTAAGGGACTGATGCTAATTCATGACTTACAGAGTAAATTATTTTATTTAATAGACTATGGCAGTAACATTACTATTTGACATACATCTGTCTACAATATAAGTTGGCACACTTACATTGTTGAAACATTCCCAGAGGAACCTGTTATTACTGCTCACATCATTCCTTTCCATGCAGCAACCCCACCTGACCAGACACCAGTTGTGTGCAACAAGCACAGTATCAGGGGTACATTACAAAGTAGATGTCCGCTGTACTGCTTACACAAGGAAGCTAGTATATGAACATAAGATCTAATTATGAACAACCATAAACCAAATGAAGCTCTTCAGCATACACTGAGGTGAAACATAAGCCAGATGAAGTGATTCAGCCTCTCTCAGTGTTCCATAACCAACTTCATTAACTTGGCTCCCTGGATGAAGCATGGCCATCAAAATAAACTGGGCTTCACTGGGATAACTAGGTAATAACAGTCTTAACTGCAAACCAACAGACTTTTTTCTAAGGCTGTTTTATTTCTTCCACTTTTGGGTGGGGTGAAATACCTCACAGGTGAAATATCTCCAGGTTGCATAATGCTTATAGAGACGTATCGTGTGCTTTTGTAAAGTAACTAGTATTTTCATAAGGTTGCAGCGGAAGACTGAAGTCTTACTGGCCAGCACAGGAATCACCTGAGACAACGGGCAGATTCCAGTAACTTGTTTTAAGAAACAGAAAATAATCCTATATGAAGGCAGATGGATGGAGCTGCAGTATAGAAGAGCCAGACTGCAAAAGGTCTTGACCAGTGGTAGTGCGCGTCTAAGCAGTGCACTGGGGATACGGCTAAGCAGGTTACTGTTCATGAGAAAAGCGAGAGGCTTACCTGCACTTCAGGAACAACATCTGGCACTCTCTTGTTAACAGAACTGTATCAATGAATAACAGTTACTTCAACATTCTAGAAAACTGCTTCATTTGAAAGGGAAACATTTGTCTAACAACCTCTAATGGCCACATGCAGATTCAGCTTTATAACAGGCACCTGTAAACACAGTTGCCGCTGTTGTCACCTGGCCCTGCAATCATCCACACCTTATTCTGAACTGCGTTTGTGCGTCTCTGTTCTTTCCTGGTCATCAGTGTCTGAATACTCTGTAAGATCCAAAGTCAGGACTCGACTGAACATAATGTCATCACGCTAAAAGAAGGAAAGATTATACAATTGAAAACACTTCTGTCATTTGAAATAAGCATTTCATAAATTACTGTGAGATGCAATAACAAGCTTGAGTTACCAAAATGATCTTTTCATCAAGCCAGCACCTGCACTTACTTCTGAACATAGGGTAGTTCAAATCCAGCAACACAATTACATACATGATTCACTGGAGTAACACTTAAAGTGTAAATCAGTACTTCAACAAACCCCAGTGTGTACTATTTAACAAAAGTTGGTAATAATTAATTGTTACCTCTGGACACACTCCAATCAATGCGTCTGCTTTGGAATAAAACTCTTCCTTTAGAGAAATAACTATCATTTGTAACTGCTCATGTGCCTGCTCTCTAATGAAACTTGATACCTTTGGGAAGAAGCCAAATATTAGTTAGCTCTGGCAGACTTAAACCATGCTGTAATGAGGGAATGATGAGGGAAGAACTAAACTACATTAGCTCCAGAATTCAGTAACTCAGTTAGGAAGCATGGATAAAATGAGAAATAAAATAGTCTTACGACAGACACTTTGCATGTTCCTAAGACAACCCCTCACATTTGCTTTGTGAAAATGCTCAAGAAAATAATCATTCACTCCAATGAGTAAAGGTACAGAAAAAGGCCAGTGTCAATGCAAAATATTGCACTTCACAGAACAACAAAGAAAGGTGGAAATTCCCAAACAGGAAAAAAAAGCGTGAAAACATTGTTACTGGCAGTATACTAAGGTCCTCAAAATGTATTAGTTCACTGCAGAAAGCATCATTTTTTATAATTACCAGCAAAATAAAGGACAAACATGAACTGATAAATTGGTGACTGAGTAAGGCAGTGTCCCACAATATAAATTAAATGCTGAATGAAGGAAAACCTGTACATTTTTAATGCAACTTTTGCCTGCACTGTTTTATTGATGTGATATAGAAGTCATCTTCTTAATGGAAGCACTGTCTTTAGGGAGTTACATGATTCACATTCATTTTACAGTGCAATTACAAGTAAATTATTGGAGATCTACTTCAACATAAACAGTAAGAATGGGCAGAAAAAGACTTGGGAAGTTGTGAATGCCCCATCCCTGGCAGTGTTCAGGACCAGGCTGGATGGGGCTTTGAGCCACCTGTGGTGGGGGGCTGGAACTGGATGATCTTCAAGGTCCTTTCCAACCCAAACCATTCTGTGATTCTGTGATTCAGAAAACCTGGATACCAGTGAGTACTAGCAACATATATACCATGCATCCTTTTTGCTCACTTGAAGTATTTAATTCCTCTGTCTGAAGGCTGTGGTACTTTCCACTAACAACTGTATCTCAGAGATAAGGAACAAGATATGAAAGACTCTGGGTGCAGGGAAAAATTAATTATACCTGCAGATCACGGCAATTTTGCTTTTGCTCATTCCGCAATTTAAAACACTTTTCACACATGCTCAAATAATAATGTGACTCTCCTTATAAGAATCCCTAGATAAACATTGAAGCCAATTCAAGGAATTTTTTAGGAAACAGATGTTCTGTCAACGTCTTCCGGCATTTCAAGGGCAGCTGCTCTCCAAGCACATTACACATTACCACCTGTATCGCACGCTGTTGATGGGAAAAGAGCAGCTCTGTTTGTCATTCTGCCCCAGTCCCTCTGCACTGCACCTGGCCAGGGCAGAGCAGGCAGGCAGAGGACTGCAGAAGGGCAGTAATCCAAGCACCACCCAGGGTGGTGCAGCTGGTGTGCTGCAGCTTCATGGCAGACGAGCGGCTCTAGCCAGGATGATCACAGAACAGGCAAAAGCACAATTCAACTTGAAAGCAGGAAGCAGATTAGCTGGGCCCCAAGGACTCAATGAAAGGCCTAATACAGACAGTACTAAGGCAATTTCAGGGTTAACCCTGATATGTAATATAATCCAAGCTTAACTGCTTTTGGCCATGAAGTATTATTTATAGATGATACTTTCCTAAATATACATTAGACCAGAACTTAAAATACTTAAAACTTCTGCATTGATGTTCTTTATTTTCTTGGATATACATCTTATAAACATACAACTTGCCAATGTACTGTTTCTATTCTATCATAATGCTTTGTTGCAGTGAATAGTTGTTAGCAAAAAGGGGAAGAGAAATTAAGAGGAGGACAGAAAGGTATTTTAATCAAGCAAGAATTCATGTGGCCAAACCAATGGGAATGATAGCCTCCCATTGGTTTTAATGTGTAGTTGGCCAATTAGATAAGAGCAATACTCCAGTGATAGAATGACTCGATTCCAACAGGCACATGCACTCTTTAATACTTCTTAGAGGTAAGGGAACTCAAAGGCCTTAAAAATTCCAACTGAACCAACCCACCAGCACTTCACCAGTGACCTTCCTGTCAGACTGTATCACACATGGCACAGCATGGCATGCCTTCATGGATTTAAATAAACTCAGTATATTTTAAAACAGGTTAAGACAGCGTAACCAATCTCTTTATACCAACAACCTATAATGAAAAGTAGCCATCCTTATACAAAAAGATAGCACTATATTGTTGATAGAAAGATAAAGTGAAAGGGACCAACTTACTTTATCGATGTTTGTGTTATCCAGGGCAGCATCTATCTCATCTAAAATAAAGAAAGGTGCTGGCCGAAAACTGTAGAAAACAAGATAGTAGTTTGCATTTAGATGCAAAAACGTTAATGAACATTCTAAGTACTTTACAGATTTCTCTTACTTTATCATAACATTTTGGTAAGAAGTAATGACAAGTAAAGAATAAGGACTTTAATAATGTCTGACTACGCTATTAGCAGATTCTTTTCCCAACAGGTTTGTAAGTATAACACTATCTTCCTGCCACTTACTTAGCCACATACCTGGGTAAGAGCCTAGTATTACTTTTACCTGTGTATAGCAAACACAAGGGCCAGGGCTGCCACAGATTTTTCACCTCCTGACAAACTGTCCATTGGCATAAAGCGTTTTCCTGGAGCCACACAGTTAAAGCCAATGCCTTCCAGGTAAGGCTCCTCAGGATTTTCAGGACTAAGGAATGCCTGGAAACACAGATATTTCATTATTAACAGTGACAGCTATACAATTATCAAGATGGGTATTTTTTAGGTTTAAATACTGATTGAGGTAGTGTTGGAACTACCAGTACTACAGTAGGAAACCCCTGTTCATCTATACTGGAGAGCAGCATTATAAAATTCCCCAGTGAATATGCCTTTTTCAATGAACCATGAGCCAGGAGGCTGATTAACAAGACCACCTTGGGAGCAATTCCATGTATCTGTTATTTACAAACTCTCAACCACTAAATAAGCTCAATTTTACTACCTTTCATATAAATGCTTTAATTTTTTAATTACTAAAAATTTAGACTTCCAAAAGAGTTTTCTTTTTTGTTTGGAAGTAAATCTACTTCCAAAATTACACTTTTTTTTTGTGAAAATTAGTTTTACAAAATCTTCCTTTGAGGTGGAGAAAGATTTTAATATAGGTAGGCTTTCTCTCCTCTTTGTATCCTTGTTCCCAGGTTCAAAAACTAAAAGCATTATCTTAAAGGAATGGCCATTTTTATGAAACCATTAAAAAGAATGATGGATAAGTCTGTTGTTACATGGTTTATGTTTCCCATTTAACAGAAGAAACGAGAATAATTCAGTCTCTTCCCTTCTGCACAAGCGGATACAGATAAAATTTCCGTAAGAGACACTCATTTCAAATGACTCTTCTCATATTTACAGTGGAAGAAAAACAAACAAAAAAACCCCACACCACTACACATACTTCAATTTGAAACAATTTCTGTGGTAAAAAGTGGTGGAAGCAAGATACAGTGCTTGCAGGATCTTTGTTTTGTTTGATGTACACTTATATTCCCCTCTTTCTCTGCTGAGAGAATGCCTATCATTGAAATAACACTGCTTTTCAGACTGTAAGCATGTCAAATATTTTGCAACACATCTCCCAGTTCTGTGCCACTGCATCTATCTATGCAATGGAAGTTTTCAGATGTATGGACACTACTAGCAAAAAATCATTTTATAGCTTACTAGGGTACATATATTTTTGCTCATCAAGATATGAAAGACATTTCTCTCTTCACAGAAGCGGAATGGAAGAGAACTGGTGTCGAACCCAGGACTGAATCTGTCTATGAGCACTTTCTCAGGCTGTAGTTTCTTTTGAATTATGCCTAGCACACAATGTGCTGATGAAATAAATTCTACTGAGCAATATATTCAGTGCATGAATGCTCTAAGTCCAGAATCTCTGGAAGTTAAATTAATTGATCAAAGCTTCTCTTTTGTAGACTGGACAGTAAATCATTATTAATAAATGTTATTAATATATTAAGAAATATTAAAGGCAATTTCCTGTTAATAGTTGTTAAGGTTCCTTAAAAAGCATCTGTTCAAGCTGCAACCTAGGCCACCTCCTCTGATGGCAAAACTCAGAGCTAATCCTTTCTTTATCTAACCAGAGCATACAGAGCAATCACTTCTCTCCCAGCTCAATCAGATCAGCTTCCTTCAGGTGCTATGTTTGTATCTAGTAGGCAGTTTTAGCTTCCCAGCTAATCACAGGATAATCTCTTGACCACGTTGCCACTATGGCTCAACTCAAGGCACAGCATCCCAAACCTCAGAAAGCAAGCACCCAACTAATTATTTTTGGCAATGCATCTGGAAAATACTCATTGTTTCAGAGTCATGCAAAGTCAAGATCTGACTGGTGTTCAGTCCAGGGGAGAAGGTATGTGCCCAGTAATCAAGAAGAAGGAAATGCTTTATTATCCTGTCCAACCTACATGCAGAAAGGATATACTTAAAGATACTTAAGATGTTCATTGAGTATCTGACTTTGACAGGAGAACACAAAATCTCGTTTAAGACAGAAAAGAGCTCAAGCCTGAGTTTTTAAACATTCAACCACCTACATGATTTGATGTAACCAAAACATTTGGGAGTTTCCTCTTTATTTCCAGCAGTAATACTGGAACAGTTCCAAAGATTAAAAAGTTGTGAATGCTTTATCTTTTTTAACTATTTAAGTAGGGTATAAGGAGCTGCAAATGCAGCTATTACTTCTCTGACCCTAAAATTCTAAGTCTGTATTTGGGTAATTTTCTTCTTCAGGACTGAAAATGTCACTGGAAACCAAAAGTGTTGCTAATTCTCTTATTCTAGATAGCAAAACATCAAGTCGGCTTTGAAGCCAAGCCCATGACACACCTGAGCACTACTGTTCCTACAAAGTTTCTTGTAGATCTGGTCGATAGCTACAGAGGCATGCTCGAAGCACCGGCTGAACAGCTCGTATCTCCTTCTTTTCACTTGTTCAAATTCTTGCTTGCATGTTCTAGCTTCCTTCCTGCTGGTCTCAAAAGCTATGAAAAAGGATGACTGAAATTACTCCACAGTAAGCCTCTGAGCAAATACACAGAAGGAATATATGTTGTGTACCATAATAAGCATCAAGGAAAATACTTATTGAAGAAAAAGATTCTAATGCAGATACAAGGAATATACCAACATTCTGAATTTCCTTCTAGATTTCAAATGGAGGCCCCAAAAACTGAACAGCTGGGATGTATTAAATCTGCTTTATGTCTGGAGCAATGAATAAAATTCTTCTCCCAATTCCTTCTGTAAGCTGGGCACCCTTAAGCAGCACCAGCATTTGCTTTTTGCAGCTTTAGAACTCCTTGGTTTTCTTAATATGTAATGTCTGCAGTGCTCTTTTAGGGAAACAGTAACTGCAGCAATGCTCATATCTGACTTCTGGACAACATGTATGTGTTCCTTCAATGATTTAAGAAAAAAAAATAATAATTTTATGATTAAAGTGAGTACTATTTAGAAAATAAGTAAAAATATTTTATGTCATTTAGCAAACAAAATACCTTTCCAATCATTCAAACCGTATTTCAATAAACTACTGCAGTGTTAAGAGTATGTTAATAAACAGTTTACGTATAATGACAACTGAGGATGAACACTTGAGCATAAAAGGTATCTTACTACCTGAAAGAAGCAAAGGCAGCAGGACCAACCCCGGAAAGAGGAATTTCAGTTAGAGTAAAAACTCTCATGGGTTAATAAGAAAGACTCAGCATTACCATATATTGATTCTTGGAACTTGTCCCGAGCTATCTGTAATTTCTCTACTGCTCTCAGGTTTGGAGCAGCTGTCTTCATTAAAGTACTCTCTTTAGATTTTATTTCTTGTTGCATCTGGTTCAGATGATCCTGTATATCTTTATCAGTTTCTAGGTCCTAATGGAAAAAAGTAAAAACACCAAAGCAGTAAAATCTGCTTTTACTCCAAGAAGTTTCAACATACACAGCAAGCACCCATGGTTTCTGGAAGAATTCCCCCTCCCACTCAATAGCTTTAACTAAAAAACACAATAAGCATGAAACTCCACTCTGAGCCTTAGTTCTCAGAATAAATTTACAAGGTCTTAAGTATTGTTCCACAAAGACCTTTAGAAACAGACACAAATTCCCTTCAGCCTAGAAGTCTAGGTTAAAATATAACACAGGAGGAGGATTAGCTGGCTTCACTACTTTATTTGTGAAGAAAACGTCTTGATTAATTCATTGCAAATCTGTCTTCAAACAAGTTCCAGTGGTAACAGATTCTTCCCTTGCTCTGTAACCAGCCTCTGACACAAATAGAGTCTTGCAACTTAATGCAGAAGGAGGAAGAAAAAAAAATCAGTTATATTTACTTTTTATCATTCTATTTTTTATGGTTTAGAAAAGCTTTAAATTAAATTTAGTTATATGGGAAATTGATCTATCCAGAAATCCCATACAGTTAGTACTATGTATGATTGCAAAAGCAAAATGCAAATACACAGGCACTTAAGCTTAACAGTGGTTTTAGTAACAGTGATTTAGAGACTAGGTTGAAGAATAAATAATTTCAACAAATAAAGTATTTTAAATAAAAACTTAATCTCTAATAACTTCAAACAAAGAGACTACCTTCAGGTCTTCTGCTAGGCTGCTGTAGTCGATCTGAATTGCCTCTTCCCTTTCATAGATACTGGATGTAGTCTGAGTGTCTTCTGTTTCAGGTCCCAGCTATAAATAGGAAGGACATTCCAGTTGATAAATATGACAAATATAAATTTAATTTTAATATAATAATATATATATAATAAATATAATTTTAAACCATTAAAGCAATACATTAAAAGGATATAAAACAAAGAGACAGTGGTAACATAGTATGAGGTAAACTTACTCCATAGCTCCTCCCCTAGCCAAAATTGAATTAACAGCAGAGTCTAATTAAAAACCATACCTTTGAAATGAAGATGAAAACATCTGCTAATTTATTTCAGTCTGAAGCTTAGAGGAATGCAGCAGTAATTTATTTATAATACATTTATAACAATGTGCATACTTTAAATCTTCTGATTGGAAAGGTTTCCATTTCCATGATAATTCAAGCCCCTTTAAGTAAAGCCTCTGAAATGTGTAAGTCAAGTCTGAGTTGGCTTTAGAAGCAATGAGTAGCATCAATTCTGTACAGCATAAGCAGAATATCTCCTGGACACTGTACACCTGGATTTCAAGCAACTGCTTTCCGCTGAATGGAACACGTGCTGCCTGTTGTAGTCAGTCCCTTTCCCCACCAAGACTCTTTCTCAGAACCAGATCTCAGTGGTTTTCTCAGGGATATTCATTAGGAATCTAAGCTGTTATTCCTACTGCCCATCTCCTCAGTTTCATCTCTTCCTTACTGATTAACATCAAGAGCTCAGCTGTCTACATACTCTGATGATTGGCAGTCCTTTCCCTTCAGAGACTGCCCATCTCTGCATTCATTTTGTCTTCTGACCCACTCATTCACACCTATCCTCCAGAAAAGCTACTTTTCTAAGGAGTGGTATCAGCAAGACTCCTTTCAAATTCACAGGCTAGCTACAAGTCCTTCAAAACCCCTAGCTATTTTATTTTGAAACAATGGCGAAAGTTTAACTTCCTCTCATAGAAGATATGCTGGAAAAAGCGGGAAGACTGAGAAAAATAATGAGGGTCAATCCCTTGATGGCAGAGCATTTCTATTTAAGCCTACCCCCAGTTGCTGTGAATATTTGTATCTACTGAAGACAAAAGGACAATTTTAGACAGCATTTATATTATGGATGATTAACCAAAGATTATGCCAATTCATGTACACACCATATTTATTTACATTTCTGAAGTGACCCCTGTGTGTCCCTTTACATTTAGTAAATGAAGTATTTATCTCAAATACTCCTTCATACTGATTTTCTTTTACCACAGCAATTTTACATATTTCACAGGAACACATTTCAAGCAAAAGTAAAAAATACTTGCAACGATATTTCTGTCTACAAAAATAAATAAAAAAAAATCCTTGAAAATAATATTACTGTCCAAGATAAACAGGCCTGTAAGGAAAAACTAAGTATCTCTAAATTCAAGACTGAATAATTGCTCGTCCATGATATACATCTTTTATAAACATTTTATGTACCTCAACTTCACTGATGTCATCCAGTAATCCAGATAGGAACTTTATTTTCAAGTCCTGCACCTTGCATTCGAGAAGCATATTATGTCGTCTCAATCTTTTCTCTTCCAGAGCAGTTTCTATAGTTGTAGCTTCTTTTTGTAATTTTGTAGCTTCTCTACACAGACAAAAGATACAGAACAATTAAAGAGCAGAAGCCACTAACATCCACAGCCATACAGCATGAGAAACAGTTACCGAGTTTCCTCTATAATCCCATCAAACATAAAGGAAAACTGTACTTAACTTCCTCCAATCCCTTCATTCTCCAAAATCACTCAAGAGACACCTTGGAACCACAAGCTATTCCAGCAGGCAAAGTTAACACTCTGCTGTTCTGTATTAGCTTTCACTATTGCAAGCACAGACTTAGTTTCAGCATATTGCCAAGTTCTCACTACAGCATGTTCAAATATCCACCCTTCCTAATTGCAAATTAACTCTCTTTTGTTCAGCTCTGCAGAATATGCATGGAAATTTGACCCTTTGGAAATTTAATCAAGTATCTTTTATCATTACCCTGTTTGAAATACATGACTCTTTGCAATGAATACCTTTGATAGCATCAAGTTGCTAAGTAAGGCAGAGACACAACTGCCTTATTTTGTAAAAATTACACACTATAAAATTACTAGGCACATAATCTGAAAGCTTGTGTAAAATTCCAGAAGTTTCCCTAGCCATACTGTGCCAACATGTCTGTCTTTAAACACAGGCTCCTGATTAAGAGACATGAAACACATCAATAATAAAGCACTTGGTTTAGAAAAACAGGAAGGACAAAACAGTGACCTAAAATTAGTATTAGTTTAAGGTATCCAACACTTGAAAGGCCTGGAGAAAATGAGAATGCTGAAATTGGACCAAAAAAAAAAGATAATTTCTCAATAACTGAACCAATCGTACTACTCAAAGAAAAATATGAAACTACCAGTAAACTTAATATGCCCCCCCCCCCCCAAGTTGTAAGCTACTTATTGGAAGTCACTACGTATTTATCAGAAATCACAACAAGACCTACCATGAGGTAGATAATAATGTTCTTCTATACAGTTTATGGAATGGTTCTCATTAAATAATCTCATTCACAACACTTTTGGGAACCAAATGCTGAATTGGAAACTCTCTTTAACTAATGCATACTGTAAATGCAAATTACCATGTCTCTAATTAATCTTTCATAAGAAAACAGAACAAGAGAAATTAAAACATCTGATCACTACAACTCTTCTAAATATTACATTTATCATTTTCCTAGGAGCAGAATTAGCAATTACCTATTAAGAGTTAATAATGTCTTTCTGAACTCTTCAACTTCATTTTGGGCTTTTGTAACCTCGGATTTATGAGCACTTAATCTATCCTTAAACTGTTGCCACTCCTCCACAATTTCATTCACTTTTTTTAGAAGCTTTTCCTCATCCTGCATAGAAATATTTACAATTTTAACCTTTCACCAAAAATCTTGATACGGAGCTTTGATTATACAGAAAGAAAGAGTTAAAGTTCAAACCTGTTAAAATACATTCAAATGTGTTACAACACAAAATCTGAAAGGTCTGGGAAAACTGCCCGTCTTATACATAGGAATATCCAGATGTTTTGCATACACAGGGACAGCCAGCTCCGGATTTGTGGCTGTACTAGAGTAAACTATGCAGCCATCAAACAAAGCACGGATCCTGAAATCTGTAGGCTACTCCTTTTTTCTTAGTCCCTTATCCCTGCAAGAAGGATCCCACCTGCCATACATTTACAAAGTATTCAGCAACACCTAAGGTAACCTGAAATCTGAAATCGTTTAAAAAGTATTGTTCATTAAAGAGAAATCACGAGGCAACCTGAAGAAAACAATCTCTGGAGGTACTCTAGAAGGGTCTTCCCCTATATAACGCAAATTGCTAAATAGCTAGAAATTAGGTGCTAGACTATGGTAAATCTAATGCCACATGCATGAAGACATGGTCCTAGAGACTATGAGACTAGCTAAGAGGCTAGTATTATGGCAATCTAAACAAGACTTCACTGCTCTTGCAGTATCCGAAGTACCTTCAGAATTTAATACCAATAATCCTTCTCCAGGACAAAACCATCTGAATTTGTTCAAAGTCATATTTCAGAAGAATTATGCACACAGGCATGAAGTCAGACATGTTTCTGTACATGACTAAAGGTCTATTGTTTTTCCTCAGTATCAGAAATACGTATCTTCTAATGTTAAAAAATACAGCGTTCAAATGATGCATGTGGGTTTTTTTGCCCACTTTGGGGGAGTTTCACATTTCACTTTTGTTCTTTATGAAAGCACTATTACTTATCTTTTCTCCCTCACTTTCCAGTGCACCACAAGCAACATCAACATAACAAAAAATTACTTACAAGTAAAGAACGCTATAAGGAGGAATCCATACAAATTACTTTAACTAAAAATCTAAATTAGTTTTCACAGATTTATTTTAAGTCTATTAAGGCTGTGAAGTACTTCACATCTATAAAGGCTGTGAAGTACCTTAAAAGATGCAAAGCACTGGACTTGTTTACTATTACTCCTAGAATCTTCTAAAGAATCTCAGCCACTGCTGCTAGTCATATGGTATGTTTTCATATAAACTAAGCACAGGATAACACTACATACTAGTAATTTGTAAGTCCCCTAATATGACAGGTAATCCAAGGTTAAAATGACAATATGCAACTGCATTTTTTCTAAATTTACAAAGTCAGTACTAAATTAAACCTTAGAAAAATTACTCAATAGCATTAACTATGTTTATTCAAGATTATTAATTCAATGCACTCTTTCCTCAGTTCCAGGTAGAGAGATGTCTGTTACAGTTACCTTCTGTAGCCTGGTAATCTCGGCTTCATCTTTATGAACAGTCTCCCTCAACTTGCTGACAGTGTTTGTTAACTTTTGTAGATGATCACGATTATATTCCAGCTGAATATTTAGTCGTGTCTTCTGATTTTCAAATTCCAGTCTAGTCAAAGTACATTATTTCAAAACAGGCTGACAACTAAGTCTATTTAAAGTTATTATAAGACAGATTTTCATTTTGACTATTTAGATAGCATTTTTATATCTTCTATATGAACACAAAAATTTGCATGCATCTGCATCATTGATTCCACTACACCACATCCTGTGGATATACTGAAAGCTACAAAAATACAGTGGTAACAGTTTAAAAAAAAATACAACATACAGTGTGGCCACGTTTAATATGGAAAGTGACACTAAAAGTTCAAGTATCTCAGCATGAATGATATACCTGTAAATAATGTAGATATGAACTGGGCAAAAGCTACACTGATGCTGCGTATTTACCCAATGCCTGTGCTCCCTGTTCAGCCACTGCAAGCTTCCTGGTCAGCTGGCATGTATGTTTATCTGAGTATTGGAAAAAAACTATCTCAAGTTAATAGATGGCAATTAAGAAGCATGAGACCAGAGTTTTTCAGGCCATGTTGAGCCTTGCTTGTTATCTCTCAATGGAGATCTGTATTTGCTTATAGGGGTACAACAGCAGAAACTTCTTCATGTCTTGCTATGAGAAAGGACTGAAGGAAGCAGCTATTTACAGAAAGGTCTCCTCTCAGCTGTTACTGTCTGCCTCTGAGCTTACCAAATGATTAACTACTGGTGCTGCATCTGCTGTTCGAGCAAAAGGGCTGGCCCAACACCAGCTCCAGGCTCTTTAAACCTGGACAAGAAGGCAACACCATAGCAGAGGCTTACAGGTCTAATGTTGGCAAGGCAGGGCAGCAGCAAGGCCAATGCAGCATAGCATAAGGGCATGTAGTGATAGAACAAGAAGAATAGTTTTAAACTGAAAGAGGGTAGACTTAGATTAGACATTAGGAAAAAATTCTTCACTGTGAGAGTGGTGAGGCACTGGCACAGGTTGCCCAGAAAAGCTGTGGCTGCCCTATCCCTGGCTGAATGGGGCTTTGAGCAACTTACTCTAAAGGAAGTTGTCCCTGCCCACGGCAGACAGGTTGAAACTAGATGAACTTGAAGGTCCCTTCCAACCCAAAGCACTCTGTCTAAGACAAGGCCATGCAAAATTTTCCTCTTTTCACTGTTCTATTACTAGCTTCATACACTTCACCAGACTTCAGTTCTTGCAAACATAAGTAAATGACCAAATCACTTCAGCCAGCAGGTGCTTTAACTGGAACTAAACGTACTGCATTACTACCTCACTGCAGCCCTAACCAAACACATGTTCGGACTACTTTCTGAAAACCAGTCAGTGAATCTCTTAGCAGCTGAAGAGATAGCTGAAAAGAAAATGGAGTTCAGTACTACCCATTATACTAGTCATGTTGAAAAGGCGTATTTCCTACAAATGACACCTGTAGTACAAAGAAATAGTTCATTTTAACGTTCTCATTCTTTAAATTTGTTGGCCTGTGACATATGCCTGTCAGAGGGGAACACCAGTTGAGGTTGCCTGTGAGAAAATATCCTAATTTCCTTAATAGTATATTCTTCTACCAAATCACTTCATCTCACACCCAGCTCTCCTTTAAGCTTTTTAATATACAAGTGAGCCTCAACACCATCCTTTTCTATGCCATTTTTCTATGTGGATTTTATTAAAATACTTTTTGCTTTATTTTCCTACAACAGGGTTACCAAAATAGCAAATGTTACCTTTCCAGGTTGTTGCAAACTATCACTGACTTTAACTGTCAGATAAACCCAAACCATTGCAGTGCTACTGCTCACTAATCCTTGCAGTGCTAATACAACCTTTTACAATCTTTTAGGTTTTTGTGGTATTTCCTGTGATGGAGGGAATTTGCCGGTGTGCCCAATCTAATACAAATAACTTTTTAACATTTCAGTTACAGATACCACCTTTTCTTATCAATCTCCTCTTGTTGTCTCACATGTTCTTGTTCATACACACGAATATTTTCTATACCAATTTCTTCACAGAATTCCCGGAAAACAGAATCTTCAACCTTCAAACAAAAAGAAATGGAGCAAAAATTTTTCATGCTATCCTGCAACCAGTCAAACATCTAGACAATCACTTCAGTTTACTGTTTCTGTCTGTTGTTCTCCGTCCAATGAGGAAGAGAAAGCTGAATGGTATACAGGACACTAATCAGATACATCAGGTTTCCCAGTGTAGCTCGGTTCTTTGCTCCAGTCCTTTCAAGTGATTCATAAATGTTAATTACTATGTTCCATTTATAGCAAAGCCACAGCAAAAGACCTGCTACGGAATCTCTTATTTCTTAATTATACAGCAAATACTAACAAAAGCTTCAGCCAAAACCAATCTTAAAATTTTAATGAAAGACTTCAGCAGTTAAAGAGTAGGTACAGTGTATACGGCAAGACTGAACAAAGAAACAGCAACAGCCTACAGCATTTGAAAGACAACTTAAAATTTTGTTCAGTCCATTGGGTTAACTTCATAGGTCAAAACCTAAGTATTATTTATATTGTTTTGATATGCAGGCAGGTTTAACCAGGTATCAAACAAGCATACAACAATCTTCAAAACAAAACAAACCCCAAAACCACAAACAACAACGACAATCAAAAAAGAAAACCCAAAAAAAAAAACCAAAAAAAAAGCCAAGAAAAACCAAACCCCAAACCCCCAACACCCAAAAAAGCCCCAAAACACCCCTCCTTCCTCAAAACTTCTTCCTCCTCAAACAAAAACCCAAAACCCAATGAAATAAGGAATTTCTTTACAATCATCATGCATACCACTCTCTCAGAATAGTAAGAGTGCACAGAAAATAAAGCACAGATATTGGCTACTTCTCAAGAAAGGAATCCTCACTCTGTGCTGCTCTTTATCTACTTTTCTAGTATACACTGGCATAACAGGTCATCATCTAGACATGACATCCATAGAATTCAGAACAAAGCGCTCTAGCAGTGCCGAGAACCGTTCTCAGCTCTAGAAAGCTGACACAGAGCTCTCTTCCTAATGGCATGAGCATGCCTGATCTATTTTGCATGTGGGTTGCAGACCTGATGGATCTTCCAATTAAAAGAGATCAATAGAGGATTTCCATTAAGACACTGAATGGGACCTGCCATGACTGCAGTGAGAATGCTTTTCAGGAGGACAGTCACATATGCAAGGACTGTCTAACTGGTGGATGCACTGATTACTGAGAGATCTGCAACTCTTCTGGGTGCTTACAGAGTTTAGTGTACATACATGCTGTCACAGATCCACATCCGCCAGGAAGACTTCACACCAAAGGAAAATTACAGTTCAGTCAAGCAATCATGCTGCGTAAATATCTCTCCACAAAAAGGAGAGGTCCTGTGACTACAGTTTCTTACAAAGAATTTGGTTGTTAGGAGCCTGAGAAAGAATAAACTGGTATCAAAATTTACCCCAAAACCTAGAGAGTAATTTGCTGGGATTTAATCTACAGCTGAAGCTTGAACTTAGAGCTTAAAGCTGCAAACTACAATGGACTGTGCCTGCTCAACAGTAAGAAGTGTAAATCATATTTATTAGCAGACCAGGAGAAGGTGGGGGAAAACCAACCAAACTTCTTGAAACTCAAAAATTTTCTCCTATGTCAAATGAAATGAAATTATAGTTTATACATTAAGCATATATATATATAAAGCTTAATTTAATAATCTAATATTCAAGAAGTACATGATTTGGGTGGTTTGTGTTTGGCACGTAACAGTCACAGAATTTTGATTTTAAGGAAACTGATTTGCAAAGCTTTGATACATACATACGAAGATCCAACTGCACCTCTGTTCACAGTTACCTTGATAAGAAAGGCAAAGAATGTAGGAAGATTGTTGGAGTAACTTATAACCCTTTTCACAGAATCACAGAATCAACCAGGTTGGAAAAGACCTTCAAGATCACCAAGTCCAACCACTCCCCAGCACTGCCAAGGCCACCACTAACCCATGGCACTAAAGGCCTCATTTGCAGTCTGTGAACACCTCCAGGGATGGTGATACTTGTCTCAGTTTGAGCTGCCAATGAGATCTCTCACTACCCTGGTGTTTGCTGCTACTCTGGTTGGGCAAGGGACAGCAAGGCAGGGGGGTGGGAAACAGAGCTGCAAACACTGCACATCAAGCTAAGAAAGTCACAAATTTTACATATACATCTTGTTTACAAAGTTAAAAGTTGCTCACTTTCTAAAAGTCAGCAGTAACAGAAGGAAGCTTCTGCAGTACAACAGCATAAGCTGTCATGACTAGGACAGGAAGCATTACCTCATCAATTTTTTTCTGAAATTCTTCTATTTTTTCTTTTCTTTGTGCTACTGCTTCCTTCAGCATATCATGCTGAGACTCAATATTTACCAGTTCACTTTCCAGTTTTGATTTCTCCTAGATAAAAAGAAAGGAAAAAGATGGTAATTTTTCTTAATAGGATGGTCAACCTTCTGGAAAATAAGAGAAGGTTCTGTTCCAGAATAACTGTATTTTTCTGATTAAAAACACTGAATACTTTCTTCTACAATGCCACTTACCCACTATTATTGCCAATCTGCATGCAACCATTACAGTTTTCATGAGCAGAAAAACAAGTTACCCAAGTATCATTTAAAGTGTGTTTTGACTTACAGACTAAATGATAAACCAATCTTACCAGAAATTCAAATTTAAAACCTAAAAGAGAACAAGCCTCACGTAAATTACTTTGTAATCTTGGTGGAGGTTTTTTGTATTTTATTAATTCCTCAGTCATAACTGCTGTATGTAGAACTTGAATACTACTTCCTTAAGTAGCTTTTTCTAATTCCTTTTATTTCACTAGTAATTACAGCTTAGGCAAAAAAATGCAACTATTAAACACAAAAATTATAAAGGCTTAGTACCATACCGTGTAGAGATTAGCGAGATGTTTCTTTTTAATAAGCTCTAATTCACTCTGTGAGTATTTAAGTCGTGTCTGTGTTCCATGGCATTGAGCATACAACTGCTTCAAGTCAGCCTCCTTACGTTTGATCTTCATTAAGTCCTAGAAAAATATTACAACATGAGAAAAAGCATTTGAAACAAACCATGACTTATTTGGAAATTACTCTTTTTCAGACTTATGCACTACATAAAGCTAGCCTCACTGACATAGGCCCCATTCAAGGCAAATGCTGAGAACATTTGTAATATTAGATACCAATTTTGTAACAGATTTATTTCTCAGAAGAAAGCAAACATTTACAAATTCCTGAATTCTTGCTCTATCCCTCTTCCAAAATACCTCAAGTATGATAAATCATGTTACACTGACAGGTTTTGGTTTGTGCAAATATTTTTACATTGACAGCATCTAGCATCTTCTTCACTAAAAGTTTTCAGGTACTCTGAACAACAGCTTTTTTTCCTTGAAACTTTTCTCAGTGTTGTCCTGGCTCTCCACCTCTGTCATACATGAACCAACCCACTAGGAAATAACAGAGACCCCCAGTTGATTATTATTAACTAGAAGAGGATAAACAACTATTACGTCCTGTCTGCATCTTCTGGAAGTTTTGAAAATTACCTTTTAGAAAATCATCTTCCCATAGCTGAATTAAATGATTTAAATCCTTTATGCTTTTTGCAGTTAAGTGCTTTTTAAGAGACCTACCTTTAGCTCATTAATCAAGCTATCTCTTCTTTCTTTCATTGTATTAATTTCTTTATCATCCCAACATCTAGCTTTAAATCTTAAATCACTTGATCCTCCAGAAATCACTCCAGACTTCAAGAATAAAGTTCCGTCAAGAGCCACTGTCTGGAAGACAAAAGAAAAATAAAATTAAAATCAAATACATCTGAATACAAAGCAGCCAAAACATGACATGAACTAGTGCCCCAGATAGGGTGGTTAAGCAAGCATCAACCACATTTTAGTGGGACTCCAACATTCTTTCCTGTTCCAAACCTGCTAACATGAGATACATGAAGCTACAAAAAAAATCCATTGTTTCTTGGCACTAGTCACATTTTGGTGTTACTGCTACTAATCAGAAAAGGAAATTAAATGGTATAACTTCATTTTATTTAGGAAATTAATATGAGACATTTGTGTATACAGTGACAACTTCGAAGGCTATGTCTGGCTTAGTAGAGTAAAAAAAGCAATGTGATAATGGAGTAGAGGAAAGCAGCTCATCTGTAAACAGAAAGGAGAAATTTTAGTAAAGAACATAGGTGGTTTTGTGACTTGATTCCAAGTAAAAATGATTTCACAGTCACCTTTGACTTAAGACTGTTGTAATGAAGATTTTAAAAGGTTTACCAAGTGCATAAAAGGTTTCTACAGACTATCTACAGCAACAGTGATAAGCGTAAGAAGAAAGAAGTGCAGGAAAAATCAGAGAAGCTTCAGCCCACACAACACAGTCTGCATTTACAACTAATACATTCTGTCAAAGATTTTAAATAATTTTTGAAAGAGTTCCTTCATAAAAAAGCTAGTAAGATTGTTTGTATTGTTAAATCAGACAGTTTAAAGAACAGAATTACTCCTCCTTCTCCTCCTTTTCACCCCGAGGACCATACCAAGAAACGTACTTGGACACTATCTAATTTGCCTCCTTTTCCCAGGAAATCACTAAAACCTACTATCATACAGAGGAAAACATAACCATGTGAAATATCTGGGGGGTGGCTTATTTATGTGGGAATAGACTAGACAGCATAGTATAATTCTGCAATACTTTGTGGGATGTTTATAGAAGAATTATTTAAATGGCATCAAATACATAACTGCAGTGAAAAACATATGAAACAAAATTCAGCTTCTTACTTTCAACCTCACTGGTCCATCAAATGCTATTTGTTTTGCTTCTTTAACTGTTTCACAGACCAAGCCATTCCCACTCACAAACTGAATCACTTTTTTCAGTGGAGCAAATGGAGTTTGTACAACATCCACCATCATTTTAGCTCCTTTTATCTCTCTTAACTTTTCGTTGATTGGTTTAACCTGTAAAGCAAGTAAGCAATGTTTAGATAGACAACTATAACAATGTTATAACCTTCCATTTGACCAGGCTGCTCAACACCCCATTCAGCCTGGCTCTGAACACTGCCAGGGATGGGGCAACCTGTGCCAGTGTCTCACCACCCTCAGAGCGAAGAATCTTTTCCTTAATAGGTAATGCAAATCTCCCCTCTGTCAGTTTAAAGCCACTCCCCTTTGTCCTGTCGCTACATGCCCTTGCAAAAAGTCCCTCTCCAGATTTCTTCTAGGCCTCCTTTAGGCACTGAAAGCTGTTCTAAGGTCTCCCCAGAGCCTTCTCTTCTCCAGGCTGAGTAAGCCCAACTCTTTCAGCCTGTCTTCACAGGAGAGGTGCTAAAGCATTCAGGTCATCTTTGTGGCCCTCCTCTGGACTCTCTCCAACAGCTCCACATCCTTCTTATGTTAAGGTACCCATAGCTGGACACAGGACTGCAGGTGGGGTCTCAGAAGTGAGGTGTAGAATCACCTCCCTCGATCTGCTGGCCACACTCCTCTTCCTGCAGCCCGACAGAAAGTTGGTTTCTGGGCTGCAAGCACACACTGCAAGCTGATGTTTTTTGTTGGCCAACACCCCCAAGTCCTTCTTCTCAATCCAGTCCCTGCCCAGCCTGTTATTTGTGCTTGGAATGAGTAGAGTGGATGAGGCCTACAGGCAGTTAGAAGCAGTGTCATATCTGGTATCTAAAGAAACATATTAGTATTTCTCAGTTGCATGGCTACTCAACAGTCTTTGAATGATCATAGCAAGTGAAATAGGTGCCTAAGGAGCGGAAAAATTAAGTGTCACTTCTGTGTTCAAAAAGGGGCAAGAAAGAGGACCCAAGGGACTACAGGATAGTCAGTCTTACCGTGATCCCTGGGAAGATGATAGAGCATCTAACCCTAGAAACCATTCCCAGGAACATAACAAAAGTCTTGGAGGACTATTCAGCATGGATTCACCAAGTTGGTTATGTGTGACCAACCTGATGGCCTTCTATGAAATGACTGGCCTGGCAGATGAGGGGAGAGCAGCAGATACTGTCTACCTAAACTTCAGGAAGTCTTCCAGCACCGTCTCCTGCATGATCGTCATAGGGAAGCTGATGGAATATGGACTGGCTGACAAACAGTGTGGTGGACTGAAAACTGGCTTGGACAGACAGATCCACAGGGTGGTAATTGGTGGCATAAAGTCCAGTTGGAGGCCAGTAACTTGCCACATCAGAACTAGGACCAATCCTGTTTAACATCTTTACTATCTGAATGATGATGGAGAACCACATTTGGGCAAGTTTGCTGATGGCAAAAAAATAGAGGGAATAGCTGACACACTAGGGGCTCATGCAGCCACCCAGAGGGACCTCAGTAGGCCGGAGAAATGGGTCAACAGAAACCTCATGAAGTTCACCTCCTAAGTGCTTTCCCCTAACAGTTAAGACTATTTTAGTTATGCTTAAATGAGCCAAGATAAAGATTTACAAGTGTATTAACTTGCTCATGACAGAAGAAAAAAAAAAATTAAAAAAAAGTACTTACATCGAGGTAATCCAGAGCAAGAAAAGTTTCAGGTTCAGCTCGTTCTTGTTTTAGGAAGCGAATGCAATCTTTTGCTGTTTTTTCAGTGGCAACAACAATAGCAGTCATATATTTGCCAAATACCTTGGTAACAGCAAGCTGGTACTTTTTATGAATAGGATGACACAGGTCGATCAGTCTTCCAAACTGAAGATAAAAATACAAAGAAATATTAGTATGTTACTTTAGATATCAAATAATATTTCTGCATGCAAGATGCTGAAGTATTAAGAGGAAAATGTCACATATCTACGAGCTGCACTCTCCTACAATAGCTGCACATCAGAAAAATTGTAGTAGTCATCTATCCAAACTGCAAAGTATGCCTTCAAATCTGAAGGGAGGGTTTTAACTTTTTTCCTCAAGATTAACGTTACGCACCTCAATGTTTTACTCGACTTAGCACACAAAAGCATGACAGTGACAACAGCGAAGTCGGCCAAGTTTCTTTTCTGGAGAGGAAGAGAAGTATCTAACAGACACTAAGATCTTTGAATGACAATAAGGTCTTAAATAAATAGAACTATTAGCTGGAAAATGGTAGCAACAGAGACACTGTTCCAGTTTTAACCCAAAAAAGCATCTTCTTTCTTTAGTAGCATGAAAAGAATAAGAATTGCTTTTCTTTTACTGCATAGTCCAAAGCATCAAACCTGTTTTGCCATATATTGATATACCACCACCACAGATAGAACGACTTGGTTCTTTGCTATACATGCTCTCACTGAAGGTGTTTTGTTCCATTTCTGTAATTATAGGTATAGTTGAACTTTCCCTGAATAATTAAAGGTATATTCCGAACATTTTAACATATAAATTTGATTTTTAAGACATTCAAAACTATACAGAGGATCTATATACTTTCAGACACAGGCATTTAAATCCAGCTGGAATGCCATATTTACATGAAAACATCTGCCTGAGCTGCAGATAGAAACACCCAAGTAGATGGGCTGACAGCCCAACTGAATCTGTAACAATCACAACCTTACAATTAAAACTACCAATGTAGGAATGCCATTCTGAAAATTAAATTGTAAAAAAAAGTAATCCGCTATAAAAGTCACTTTGTTCATCAGAAAAATCCATGAAAATGCACGTCACTCATACATGTGGAATCCCAGAACTGCACGGCTGTTTCAGTACCTGGATCGTTCACCAACCATTACAAGATTATTTTATCAGAACGGAAGCTTTAAGATGGACATAAAATCTAGGTATTTTAAAGCAGTATGCCATTTTTCACCAATGAAATCCAGAAGACAGACACCAAGATTTCCTCCAGTTCTGCCTGAGTATTTAGTTCTGTAAACCTGAGCCTAAGGAGCAGCTCAGAAGACATCATCACTTTATATGCTGGTGTTGGGAGAACTATTGCAGGAACAAGGGTAATTGAAGCAAGTATTGTTTAGACTTTCTCTAATCAGATAGATTATATAACCAATTTTACTCATCTATTTTTTACATATTAGAAGCCATCATATCTGTAAGTACTTTTAAATTTGCAGCTCCTGAAGGAAAAATAAGAAAACATCCTAAATACCAGCTGTCCTTTAAGCCAGCAAGGTATTACCAGTCTGATCCAGCTCTTTTCAAATAGGGTACAATACAAAAAGCGAGCAAAAAGACACATATCAAAATCATAATTTTTTTTAACATCTCATTAACATGGATTAAAAGGTTCTGAAGAACAGCTGAAAAGTTTTGTTGTTCTTCACTCCTTGGTCTTTTGTAAAACCTCAGAACCTGGTGTCTGATCCTGTTGTTTTTTCAAGAGGTTAAGGATTTGCTTTTCAGCTCTGTAAAGAACTGGATCAGACTGCTGACACCTTGCTGGCTTAAAGGAGAGCTGGTGTTCAGAATATTCTCTTTCATTTTCATTTATGTTCTTATGGCAGCACTAGGAAGCAAATATGTAACCTTTAAAACGAGAAGAGGGGGGACCTTCCCAGCTTGTACAGCTCAACTACATATATCAGAAAGGATTGATTATACTGACATACTCAGAGACCAACTATTCAATTGATTCATTAAAAAATTCTTATTTAGGATCGCTGCCTACATTGGAGGAAATACTTTTTTAAGTGTCAATAAAAAGGTATAAATATGCCTCACAATCAGTGTCTGCTCACGATTCACAAAATCAATACACAGAACACTTTATGGCATTACTAAGGACTAATTTAAGTAAAATATGGTAACTGATAAGCAAAGACAGACCATTTGGTAAAATAAAAATTTCATGCACCTACACAACATTGTCCTTTGGAAGAAGCATTCCTTATAGAATAAATGGTCTCTCAGATAACCCTCCCATTCATTTGTTCAAAATAAGTCAGTCAAAAATATATGTGAAGACAGAAGAATATAAAACCAGAAAGAAAAAGGAAACAAATGGCACAAAAATCACACAAGAGATCAAAATTATTCTTTGATGAAATCAGTAATATATTCTGGTAATTGTGAAAAATAATGACAGTTTATGGTGCTATTCTTTCAGCAATACTATTTCACCAAGTACACCTAACAAGCATAAAGTTTAAAAGAATATTCAAGACAGTCTCATTTACTCTAGCTGCTTATTCAGTCTAAAGTAGAACTCTCAAATCTTGCTTCTAAAATAAGGCTTTAAATGAGGCCATTCAATTACCACAGAATCCGGATATAGTCTTTTGAGACTTTCCAGGATCTCTGCTCTCATTTGCTGACGCCTTCCTTCATGGTAATCCATTCTGGCATTCTGCAGCTCACCAACTATTTTATTCAATTCTTCATTCACTTCAGCCATTCGTATTGTTGCATTTTCGATTTCCTTAGTTAGTACTTCCTCTTGCTGCTTTTTTTCTGCTAATGATTCACTTCAAAAGGAAGCAAAAAAAGGAAAACAATTTACTATTTCATTTATACAAGCTTTTACGTTATGAAAGTAAAGGCATTCTATGGTCACAAACTACAAAAATCATTAAAAACCTGAAGTATCTGTATGAAGTTACTTATACAAGTTGCATTCTGAAGTATAAGCTATTTTTAAGGTTTCAAAATTGAGTTCAAGTGAGAGGTTTTGCCTGTGTAATATACAACCGTATCATTTTACCCTGCATCAATAAAAGGTCTGGTATTGGAAAAACTAGAAGGATTGAGAATTCTCATGCAAAATTATTACTCACCTTACACACTTGCCAAAATCACTAAGACTTTACTGCACTCTACTACAAGTACTTAATTAAAATAATTTTTACATCACACCAATCACAGTGGGTCTGCTGCTCTGAGTCCATGACAGAACTCTGTTCAGTACACAGACAGCATTAAGCCAAAGCACACATTCCAGATGCACAGAAAAAGATTGGCTGGGGGAAAAAAAAATAAATAATCTCTCCAGATCATCTACTCTGACCTCCTGCACAAAACACAGGCTACCATCAAAAGTCACCAGGTTGCTCAGACAGTAAAAATCAAGTCAAAGACAAGACCCAGGAACGGAGACCTGAGCTGCTAATATGCAACATAAATATTAATGCTTTCCAGAGCAGCACCACTGCAGTATTACTCTGCCCTCTTACTCAAAATTTGTAAACAAATAGCCCCACAGTGATGCAATTTACACACCTACAAGAAATTTGAAGCAATTATAAAACTAGTTTCAAACAAAATATGGATAAGGCATCAGACCTCCTGCTTTATTTTAACAGGAAAAGTAACTGAAATATTAATCAGAACTATGATGAATTCTCATTTGGATTAAAATTTTAAAGCACAGAAAAGAATTAAGAAATAATAAGAAACCTGTTATGTCAATCTGAGAATATGTAATATGCCAGAATTCCAATTAGCTTTTCATTTTTTAAACATACGTGCATATCTTGGCATATTCTTCCAACTTCTCTATCCGTTTTTTATGCTCTTCTACCTGTTCCACAGTCTGGTTTATGTTTTCCTATGCAATCACAAACAGATGTGTTAAAAACAAACCAGAGGAAAATGACAGTTTTACAGCAAGGCAAAACTGTGAACTCAGAACAAATACTGAGACAGTTTTTTTTCCTCACTTGTTCGTATTTCATGCTGAAGCAGTAACACCTCTTTTCAACAGTAAATGCCATATTGCACCATGAATAATTATTTTCTCAATGTCGTTGGATTTTTCATGTTTGGCTACAGTTCAGAGAAAGTCTCTTCAGCACAAAGAATCAAATAAAACAGAATCAAATAAAACAACTTTAAACATACTGTTAGTAAATTACAGGTGTTAAAAAAAGAAAGGTACTTTTCTTGGCACAAGATTAACAGAAGCTTCTTCCTAAGGACACATTAAAAATTTGACGTAGAGGTTCCAACCTGATACAACAGCACTGTACTAAAAAACTAAGAGTGAAACAAGTATTCTCAGTTACTCAAATTGAATAAAAAGACATTAACTAAAGCATGTAAAAGAAAAAAAAATAGTTACCTACACATTTTAATAAGCCTTAATTCTGAAATCCTTGTAACATTTGGAGAGTCCATAGCCTCTTTGTGTACCCACTTCAATGTTTGACTGCCCTCAATATGAAATAGTTTACCGTATAGCTATTCAGAATTCTAAGCTGTGCCTGTTGTCCCCCATCTTATCACTATAGGTACCACTCTAGTAAGAGCGTGACACTCTCTTATTCATACCCTCCCATTAAGTAGCTGCAGACAGTAATAAGGTCTCCCTTTCACCTTTTCTTCTCCAGGTGAAACAGAACCAGTTCTCTCAGCCTCTATTTATAAGCCAGGTGCTCCAGCCCCAGCCAGCTTGGGGGCTCTCTGCCAGACTCAATCCAGATCATTATCCTTCCTGTACTGGGGAGCCCACAGTCGGACTGAGCATGTTAGATGTGGTCACACATACTGCATTGTGAAGAGCGATCACCAACTGCCAGTAGTACAGATAATTAATGTCAAGTCTGAATGGTCAGGCATGCATTTTATGAACTCTCAATTATTCCTTGTTTCCTTCTCAACAGGGATTTGCCAAGTTTTAGACACACAAGCAATAGAGTTTATTTCACTTCTAGATACTAATCAGGTTTTCCTGCTAAGTAGTACTTCAAAAAGTAGAATTTTATCAAGATAAAAAGGATGTACAATCATTAACTTAGATATCATGGCAAGAATGACTTTACATCCTCACAGATACACAGTAAAATATAGACTTTTCCATACAAACAAGTTTATATCTACAAGAATGAGGTGTTAGAAACTCTCAGAAATTAGAAAGTCTCATCTGATGGATTTGTAAATTTTCTCAACATAAAGAGACTCCTCTAAACCTTGACTCTACAATTAAACATGTTCCTCTCTGACTCCTTAGTAGATGACAAAACTGCAAAGTTAGCACAGTCTGGAGGGGAAAAAAAAAAAAAGGTGGGGGAGAGGGGGAAGAAAGAACCCCCAGAACACTGAATATGGCAGAGTTTTCAGCAAAAGGCAGATTATCAACTGAGTTTCTATCCTTTTCAGCAAAAGGCAGATTATCAACTGAGTTTCTATCCTTTCTACTTCTATCAGAAGCCCCATGCAAAGTTGAACTATGAGTTGGGAAATAATTTTTTTCTAAGAAAACTTCAGGCATGGTGACCAAGTCACAGTCAAAAATGTAGGTATTTTATTGTCACGTGTGGATCTGCAATGATAAAAGAAATCAGAGACAAAATGACAGCAATGATATGTGTTCACACCAAAAACCCTGCCTCTGAAGGGCAACAGAGGAGTGGACAAGAAGGAGGTTTTTCCAAGTACAACACACTTGTATGCACAACTGACCTTAAAACATTTCCATCAAAAAGGTAGCTGTGATCAAAATACGCATCTAAATGGTGTGAGTATCATACAGAGGTCCAACAGTGGCAGAGCGTCTCAAAAAATATACTTACAAAACCAGGAACTGATTAGAGTCAAGCATATATTCTGCATAACTATATCAGATTAGAGGCAAAGCTTTCAAAACAAAATCCTCAGTGCAGACTCACACAGCCATTCTGAGAACAAATTTAGAAGCCATTTTGCTAAGCCTGTTGCAACATGAAAACTAAACTAACATTTGCAATGTAACTCCTTCACTGAGGATGTGTTCATGACAAAGCATTTATACAGACATTTATACCAGAGGGAAAGGTAGAGAAACATTCTTCTCCTTAACACATAATTTTAGCTTGATGCAAATACCTCAACTTCTTTTTTCTTCCTCCAATTAAGTTTCAGCCTTTCTTCATCTGCTTTTTGCTCCCAACGAAGCTTTTCTAGCTGCTGGTTTAGAGTAGCTACTTTCTTTCTTACTATTTCCTTTAGCTCTTTGTAACGCTCCAACTGGACAAACAGAATAAACAAATAAATTCATTCCACTGAAAGTGGGAAGGTTCAAGTTCAGTTATACTCTCAATTAATAATTGCCTCCTTTATCATAATTAAGAGTATGAAAACCACCCAATTCTCCAGAAAACCTATCTACTAATTGTGCTATAAAAAGTTATACTTTATGAGAGATTCAATACAAAACTTGCACTTAATAGTTCTTGCCTACAGTCTTGTTTTAGGCTTCTACTGACTTATTTTTCAGGGAAGTTTGTATTTTACAGTACTTCACAGTAAATCTTAAGACTAACACTAAGTTTCTGCACAGCCCAAAATCAGTGCAAATTTGCTGTTTGGTATTATAAATACCAATTTTCATGTTGTATCTATCTGTATATATACTTTTTTCTTTTAAGGTAACTATAAATAGTTTAAACAATACTGCAAAGATATTTCTAGATGACCAAATGTCTCTAAAGTTCAAAGTGAGAAGACTAACAAACTAAAACAACCCTGCTGGGTTCTCCCTTGATTGATCAGAAACAATCTTAAGGAAGAGGCAGTGGAGAAAAGCTAGCACTTAGTTTTAAAAGTGTTTCTGGCCACATGGTTGCAAAAATAGCTTTTTCAAACATGAATGTACTGCAAAGTGATGCGGTCCTTTTCTTCTAAAGTAACTTAAAATAGCTCACTTCCAGATTCTAACCCACAGTAGATGCTACACACACTACAAAGTCTTGTTTACAATTTCAGTGTCTTCTTTTTCCCTAATTGAAGGCGTATTTCTGTACCCCAGATGACAAGCCATTACTCAAATATTACATCAAATATTACTCTGAAGAAGGGGAAAACAAACCAGACCAAACAACCTAACCATGGATAACCACATGTAGCTACAACCCAAATATACAGATGACAGCTCCCGCGTACAACCCTTCTGAAATTTCCATCAAACCCTTCTCAACTTCCAGTTCACCAAGAATTCACTACTTCACTATTCATACAATATGGTATCTTCTCACATTGTTTAGCAGACATTCTTCGCACCCTAGGAGAGGTGCTTATCATTTGCAATCTCACAATGGTGAATTTCTAAATATCTATGCATCTTAGATTTACTTCCCAGAAGTGTTCCAGATTTGGAACTTCTGTGAGATCTGACTTCAGCCCCCAGAAGGGGACAGCCCACTCCCCTAACAGGCTGCATCATCATTTCTCTTCTGCTGATGAAACAGTCCCTAAATAAAAGTTGTAATTTTCTTTTTGTTTGAGCTTAACAACAAAAGGATCATTAGAAATTACAGGTTACTGGTCAAACAACAGTTTCTCTGTCTTAAGTAGAGATTTTTGAGCTTCACTAGTAAACAGCACTTTTTGGTTTCCCAATTCACCTGACTTTCTCCTAGCTCAGTATCTGCTGCTCTCTGCAATATTTCTTCAGCTTTCTTCTCAAATGCTCTCCATGCCTTCTCAATATCATTTAATTCTGTCTCTAGTTCTTTTATGTTCTGCTTTTCCTTATCACAGGATTTCTCCTTGTCCCTTAGCAATTGTTTTGACATTTCTACTTTCTTGATTTGGTAGGAAGTGTTTTCCTTTGCTTTTATATAGAGGGGTCTCTGCTGAATCAGCGATGCTTCCAGAGTCCTAAAAAACCAAACAAACAACAAAACCAACAACCAAACCACAAAACCAGAATAAAAAAAACAGTTAACTACCACAAACCACATCCAAACCAACAAAAGCTCAACAAAAAAGAAATGGAATAACCCCCTTCCAACCACACAAACAAATTATCAGTTGTCACTGCAGTCACATACCCACAGTTGATTTTTTTTTCAATATCCACTGAAAACAGAAATTTAATGAAATAAAACCTTCTAAAAATTCAATAGAAAACAAGTATTTATATGATGACATTACTGACAACCTGGGCATGGTGGTGGAATTAAAAAATTAAATCACTGTCTAGATATTACTTTAGTAAACTGCTCCAAACTGAATTCCATAACATGGGATATCACCCAACTGCTGTAACAGGAAATGCACGCTTGTCAAACAATTCCCACTGCAAATTATGCTTTAGCTCAACTGTCAAAGAATGTGATCAGAAAACCTACTTCAGTTCTCTTTCCATGTTCTGCTGGTCTCTGTTTAGTACACCAAGCCTTTTCTTCTTGGCTCTAAATGCATCCTCTGCTGTAGAAAGAGACTCTTTTTTGAGACTAGCCTCCATGCTCTTTTCATCCAAACTCTTTTTCAGAAAGTAAATGTTTTTTTCATTGTGATAAAGCCTGAAAAGCTGCAACTCTATCTTTTCTTCGTCCAGTTCCTTGATAAGTGTCTGGTAATGCTCTGCCTACCAACATAAAAATTTTATTTGCGGTTTATAAATAGGATTTTTAATCATTAGCAGTTTAATTTCGAGTCCAAAGTAATATAAGATGATATACCAGTAACTGTATTCCACTAATGTGCACTAATCATAAAAATTACGTAAGTGAACTTAATTAGACTGGAAAACCTACACTTTCATTTACTTCATATTTTATATTAATTATATTACCGTACCCTTTCATACTTATTGTACCATACCGAAACAAATACTAGCTGAAAAACAACACAAGATTTTTGTTTTTAAGAAAACCTATATTTAAGTTCATAAAAAGATGTAAAATCCAATAACATGTAAAAAGGGAACAACTTTGAGCTACCTCCTGTTTCTCTATCTTTGCTTGCTTGCGTTCTGCTGCAATGCTTTTCTTCTTGTTGTAATTAAACTGTGCATCCTCTTCTGCTTGCTGCATTTTTTTCTTTTTTCGTTCATAGTCTTCAGCATATTCCCATGAATTACTGATCTGTTCAAAAAGTTGAGTTCTCTCCCGTGGCTTCTTCATCGCAATCGATTCTACTGTTCCCTAAAAACAAATTGGAAAAAAAAAAAAAAAAAGCAGCATTGTTTAAAACTAAATGTTTTACAATGTCACTAGAAGTCTTAGAAGAGAGGCTTTAGAAGGTCTATGAAAAACACCTTCAAACTAAATCAACCTAACATATGAATATGCAGAACGACAAGATTAAATCTTCTTAGACTCTTTCAAAGAACTGAATCTCATTTTAAATAAAAAATTAACACCCTCCCAGTATTTCAAAAGCCAGCTGAAATTAATGCACTACAAGATTACATAACTGTCAAAGTTATAGCACAGATTTCCCCATGCATGAGCTACTCAAATCTTCACTGATCTGAAGGAGTTACTATTTTCAATGAAGTACAGGAAATAGGGTTTGTGACTTTTTTTCTGTTTCTACAGTGGGCAAATGCCCTCATTCTCACAGTAGGAATCCATATAGAGGGTTTTTGTAAAAGCAAAAAAACTCAGTTCTTCCTTGGGAATTTTCCTCAGCAACTATAAGGAAGACAATCATGTGAAATATATTAATTTAAAGTATATGGCATTTCTGACATATATTGTTAAATACTTGTGAACTAACCCAGCAGGATTTTCAATCCTTACAAAAATTACTATAAATTTTCATTATCTTAACTAACAGGAGTGGTTTAAGATACAATTATCTTTTCTTATTTGTAATACTCTGAAAATTTAATATACTAAACATTTATAAATAGAGCACCACATTTTCTTATGTAGTCTTGATAACACAAGTACTTAATTTCTTCCAGACTAGCTTCTTTCTTACCAGTGTGCTCATGTACACACAAACCCCCATTAATTCCATTTTGTAGTCATGTAATCTTGGCCAAGGTCAGGAAAAGATGTATTGGCTTGAAATTATCTAAGGCTGCCCTCTTTTCTGTCAAACAGGTAACTAGGTATTCCTATGAAATAATCTTGGAAGATCTTCTTTTCTTTACAAAGTACCTTAAATGCTTACCTGGAAAATCAGGCAATTCCTAGCTTTGACAAGTATGCCTATTTTTTCAAGTTCAGATATGTAAGCAGATCGGCTGATAGACTTATTATTGAAAAGAAATTCAGAACAATTACCTAAAGATGGAAAGAAAAAAGAAATTACTAAAAAATGAATACAACATAAAATCCATAGGAAATGAAATAAACTAGTAAACAATTTAGCTATACAATTTCCTTAAAGAATAAAAGAGATTTCAATTACTCTCTTAGTCATGTCAATAAAAATTCTGGTTGCATACTTCCAAAAGGTATGAACAGATGCTTAAGTGCTTATGCCTGCAGCAAGGTGTCAGATCCCATTTTTTAGAGCCTATACCATCTACATATTTCAAGTGAATATCAACAGATCAAAGTATGGAGCAAAGAACTTGTATTAATCACTTGTTTAATTTTTTAACTTTGCCTCAGTATGTTTTTTCAATTATAACACTTGGCTATCAAAATGCTACTGAAGGACTGTAAGAAGTATCATGATACTCATGGGCTTAATCAACCCAAATACACAACAATATTAGGCATCTGAACTTCAAAGTTGAATATTCTTGGTCTCCATTTTTTATACATCAGACAAAAGAAAGTATGTGCAACAGAATCTACTACCTACCACGGATAACTCTTGAAAATGTTTTTTCTTCCCCATCTTCTTCACAATATACCATCTGCACACTAGCAGTAGAAGAAACTGGTCTTCCAACATGCGCTCCATGAATAAGTTCTCGAACACTTTTAACTCGCAAATTAGACGTCTTCTCGCATATCACAAAACTAACAGCATCCATTATGTTAGATTTACCTAAAAATAATAATAATAAAAGAAATGCTTTGACATGACAGAAATTAAAGGAGACATTTAACAATCAACTAAAAATCACATACATAAATGCAAAAGTCTTTACTAATTAATGTAATATTAATATTACACATAATAAAGAAATAATACACTGGCAGCAGATAAGCCTGTCTGTAATAAAAATAATCACAAAACTGATCTGTTGAACAAAGTTTTCTTACACAGGCATCCATCCCTAGAGGTTTTTACTTAAACTGAGCGATCAACATCGTAATCCTGATTTTCTGTTTTCCGTTATGTAATGCAGTTACTGAAGCTTGCTTCATAAACTATCACATAACAACTTTTCCAACATAACCCCAGTGTTCTAGAGAACGCAAATACTTTCCCAGATCAATTCACCACAGCAACAAAGTTCTCTGATGATATTCCTTGGCAAAAAATTCTCTTCATTTAATTCTCTGTTTTCCCCCTTTAGTCTTGAGCATTTCTGCTGAGAGCTTGATTATTTCCTGCTTTCAGCCTTGCTACTTGGCAACATTTTGATTTAATTCTCCAAAATGTCATAAAAGGAAGCATACTAAGGGGACAATAGGTGCATAAAATACACAATTCAGGGATAGCACAACATTCATAATTTTTCACCCAGATTAATCTATGAAACGTATTTAGATTTACCAGGAAGTGTACCTGGAAAAGTATCTATAATTTTGAGACTTTCCAGTATGGAACAGTGAGGACAGGATGATAAACAATATAAGAATTCTAAATAACAGTTACATTTATAGGTCTGACTTAAGTAGGCAAGTGAAAAAACAACAGTATCTAGATACCTAACTCATAAAATAACATTTCATTAACAGACTGGAGAAAGTAAGACCAAATGCTAATCCCATTTTGGCTCTCTGTTACGACAATGTTCACCTCCTACCATACTGCTCTCTGGCAAACATAATATAAAACCCCATAACGATCTGGAATCGCATGTAAAAACTATGGCTTTTGTGGGTTAAACTACAAAGCAGCTACCATCTTACAAAGCTACTATCGCTTTCCCAGAGGCATTTACTCACATGGCAAAACCCACAGACTCAAATAAAGCAGCACCTTTCCACTGCTACAGTTTACAACCTAAAGTATTGAAGTAAACCATCTTTAAGTGGCCTTAGTAAGTCAAACTACAATTTGGAGTGGCAAAGCCATGGGGCACTGTTTCAAAACAGCTCATTCTACAAGGGGTGAAAAGAGAAGGCAACTAAAACCTAAAATTCCTTTAATCAAGTTCCTTTAACCACTCCACCTCTGCCCCTCCATGCTGGAAAAAAATCTGTAATTCCAGTTGAAGAAGTAATGGCAGATCAAAAGCCTTCAAAATTTTGATTGGGCTACCATCCCCTTGGGTGCATGTAAAGGGATTTTAAGCAGGCCCATGAGCCTTTACTTCTCCTTCACCAAGCCCTGCAACTCTATTCCTCAACAAGCAAGCTGTAACCACCTCCGCCATTCAGTGCAGCCATGCTGGCCCTATTCCTGTGCCTGCACCTGAACTCCTACTGTTTCCTCCCCATGAGGCCTGTGGTAAGAGCCCCCGACTGAAACCTCAATCCTTATGGCTACACTGGAGAAACAGCCCCCCGCAGAGACACACGCTGCTACCTGATCCATTCGGCCCGATAATGCAGCTGAACTTCATGAAGGGGCCGATAACCTGCTGCCCCCGCCACGACTTGAAATCCTTCATCACCAGCAGCTTGAGGTAACCCATCGCTGCAACAGCAAGGGGCGAGGAGCTGAAACCCTTAGCTCCAGCGCTTTTCCACACCAACCCCAAGCCTTAAACACTCAACCAGTGTATTTTACTGGTTTATCTTCCGGGAGAAGGAAAATCCCCTCCGCGTGCACTCTGCCCTCAATTCCCCCATACCCCCACACGCCTCCCCTCAGCCGCCACCACCGACGCCGCGCCCCCAACGCCTCGTGCTCGCAGCCTCGAGGGGGCGGAGCCGCCGTTCCCATCGCGACCCCGTGTGTTGTTCTCCCGGCCGCGCTTCGCTGCCGGCCGTGCGGGGACACGCGCGCACTCTCGGCACCATGAGCAAGCTGGTGCTGCAGCAAGAGCGGCAGGAGGCCGCTGCCCTAGAGCGGCGGCGGCAGCTGGAGCTGCAGCGGCAGAGCCGCATCTTCAACGCTCGAGTCCGGACCATAGGGGTGAGGGCTGGGTCCCGACCGCGGCACCGCGGGGAGGGATGGTTCTGAGGAGAGCGGTCTAAGGCGGGGGTAAACCCTAGGGCAGGGCAAAGGAGGGGGCAGCAGAGGGAGTGGGGGCCCCGGCTCCGGGCGAGGGAGGAGAGTGGTCGCCCCAACAGGTGGCGGGAGCGCGCGCCACCTCAGCGCCTCAGATAGGGAGGAAAACGGGGAGCAAACGCCTCTTTGCGACTTTTAGAGGGCTGAGGCTCTTGTAAAAAAGTCGCTGGTGAAATCGAGTTGTTGTCGTCTAGGTATCGTCGGCAGTTATTTTTGGCAGCTGTCACTGTGTGTGTGAGAGAGAGTGCCTGTCTGAATGTCTGAAGACAGACCTGGATGAAGGGCTAAAGTTTGCTGATCATAACAAAGCCGGGGGAAGTGGCTGATAGACCTGAAGGCTGTGCTGCCATTTAGCGGGACCTTGATAGGCTGGAGAATTGGGCAGAGAGAAACCTAAGAGGTTCAACAAAGGCAGGTGTAGGGTGCTGCACCTGGGGAGGAAGAACCCCAAGAAGCACTACAGGCTGGGGGCTGACCTACTGGAGAGCAGTTCAGCTGAGAAGGACCTGGGAGTATTGGTGGATGACGATAAATTGACTGTAAGTCAGCAGTGTGCCCATGCAGCCAGGAGGGACAATAGTATCCTGGGATGCACTGGGAGGCGTGTGGCAGTAGGTCGAGGGAGCTGATCCTCCCCCTCTACTTGACCCTGGTGATGCCACATCTGGAGTGCTGTGTCCAGTGCTAGGCTCCTCAGTACAAGAAAAACAAGGAGCTACTGATGAGGGTCCAGTGGAGGACCACAAGGATGATCAGGGGTCTGGAGCATCTCTTAAGTGGAGAGATTGTGGAAGCTGGGCCTGTTTAGTCTAGAGAAGAGCAGACTGAGAGGGAGTCTCATTAGTGCAGATCAATATCTCAAAGGTGGGTGCCAGGAGGACGGTGCCAGACTCTTTTTCAGTGGTGCCCAGTGATAGGGTGAGGAGCAACAGCCATAAACTAAACCACCAGAAGTTTCTCCTCAACATGAGGAAGAACTTTATGTTGAGGGTAGCAGAGCACTGGAACAGGCTACCCAGGAGGGTTGTCTACTTCTCTGGAGACATTCAGAACCCACCTGGATACATTCGTGTGTAACTTGTTCTAGGTGACCCTGCCTTGGCAGAGCTGTTGGACTAGATGCTCTCCAGAGATCCCTTCCAACCCTAATGATTCTGTGATTCTGTCTGTAGAATTAAGTAGCATAGGACGAAATGTAGAACTGGTAAAAATTAGTCTGTTGACTTCTTTGGACTGGTAGAATTGCAGCAGATGTCATTTTGATCCATCTTGTCTCAAGTATGGAAATGTGTCTCAAGTCAGTGGAAAGATATCTTCACTTTATCTCTGACAGCACCTTGGATTTGTACTTGTCATGCTTGTGCTAGGATCATCGTAGTTGCAGAGCAATATAGCAGTTACCAGTTAACGAACAGGACACAGCCACCTGGTACAGCATTCTTACACACGCATATAAACAATAAATGGAAGGAGCTAATAACCTTTTTTCAAGTAATGTGAGGTGAGTATAGTAAGATAGTTTGAATTTCATCATCAGGAAACACATTTCTGGTATTTTTGTTTTTACTAGAGCTTTAAAAACTAAATATAAACCATAAATTCTTAACTAATGGAATAGCTGAAAAAGAAATAGTGTATCTTGGTGTATTGAGCAATACTGAAGTACACCATCTGAAGACTTTCCTAAAGGTTTTCACAGAGCTAACATATCAGACAGGTTTTGATATATCCGTTTACATGATACAAACATCTGAAATCAAGGAGAGCCCATTGGAAAAATTTAGTAAATATTTTTATTAACATCATTTGATGTACCTTATTCATTGGCTGAAAAATGACTGCTGACAGAAGAAGTGCTTTGAAGTTGGGCCAAGTCCAAAGTATGAAAAGTCAACAAGTTTATCTGGAGACACGCTATTATTATTTCCAGTGTGGTTTTAGCTTCTTTGCTTTCTCTTTCTCACAAGTTTAGCTGGGCGGCTGTCTCTGACAAAAAATCAAAACAATAGTTGACTTAGACACCACAAATCCGTAAGCAAAGATTGAGTAGTTTAAAAGCATGAGATGATATACTGACTGGAAAAGAAAATGGGAACCAGGATATTAGGGTTTTTTTTCTTGATTATTGCTAGTTTTATTATTACCTTGACCTCTGTATCTGTTTCCTCATCTGATAATTGTAAAAGTAAGGTGCCACCCTCTTCACTTGCAGATTTAATAATTTATCCTCAATCTCTCACTCATTTCCTCAAAGAGTTCAGATAAGTAGTCCAAGTGAAAATTTATTTTCCATTTATAGATGAACTGTTATGCATAAATACAAGTACCCTAGAAATTAGCTGCTTCAATCTGTTTGTAGTAAGGGATTAGTTATTTTAATGTTTAAAAGTTAAACCTGCAGATTTATGTGACTAGGAATAGTTGGTTTAGGGTTGTGTTCTTACTAAGTGAAAGCTGTTCAAATGGGAGAGAGCTGACGGCATAGCTAAACTTGCACACAGAAGTGAATACATTGAATTCCTGCACATTGCCAGAAACTACTAATGAAGTCGTATTGAATTTCTCTTCACAATGTTCCCTATAGTTATACTGAAAGCTTAGTTTCTGAAATTAGACCTCTAAATGAGTTGATACTTAATACCTACTACACCATTGGTTTTGGACAATGATACTCTGTAGAATTCTTTTCCTAATTGGTATCATCGGTAGTCCTTTACAGCATTAACAATGTGCATTTTCAGCCATAATCTGGTTAGGCCTTACTGTCTTGATCTCAACAGTTTTAGGCAAAGACTATCAAAATATTCTTGGAGAATTGTCATTGTTTGTTGACAAAAGGTAACTTGACCAGTTTAGAAAAAAAAAAAAAGAAGAAATAAAATCCAGGTTTCTGCTTATTAATTTACCACCTTTGTCAACAAATACAGATACTGATTCTTTTGCCTAAAATGTAGATGGCTGCTGCTGTTTGATGGTACGATTTAGGGTATTATGCTTTGTTCCAGGTACAGCTGTCCAGGGATGTGAATATTCCGTACCCCACCTATTGGGTCATTGTAGATGCCTGCATGTATCTGAAATGGCACCCGGTGTTGTGTTTTGGCAACTACAGGAAACTACATGGCAGCTCTATCAAATTAGAAAATTTCTTTTCTGTTCCCCATTATTTTTCCAAAGTGCTTTTAGTGAACCACCTGTATTTTTTTCAGATCTGAACTATTACACCTTCCTGTCATCTTGACTGTCAAAATGCTTACCCGCTTTATAATCAAAAGAACAACAAGAAGAAGTAAAAATGCCAGTTATAATGGGGAAAACATATTCTCAGTAATGCAGCTTAAAATGCTTATAGATCTATATATCATGTAAATATGGTATTTAATTCTCATTTGGTGCAAGAATATGCCTGTCATTATTAAAGTGAAGCAAGCAAACAGGAATATTACTGCTTCTGTGTTTTCTTTTTATGTCACTCACATTAAATAGTGTTGTGTATACGCCCCGTTGGTAGTGCCTTTGTATCTATCTTGTGCAACTGTGAATCAGTGTAGCTTGACAGTGCCTGTAATTGTTCAATCCTAGCATCTCTTTCAGAGCTGCTTTTTTTTTTTTCATTTTAATAGGTTGATAAAGATGCACTGGATACCCAGGTTAAGGAGAGGAAAATTCAAGAAGCAGCTGAAAAAGCACGAAATGAAGAACTTGGTATATTCATAGATACAGTGATATTTCTGTGAATTGATAAATGTAATATAACATCTGTTTCCTGCTTTCTTTTTGCCTTCATATATTTCCAGCTGCCATATTTATTTCCAAATGGAGCCTCTCTCCTTGAATCTTGCTATATCAATCAAGATACATATATAGGTAGATAGATATATATATATATAAAAAAGGCAAATTTGTGGGCTTTTCTCTAAATTCAGACATACAAAGGGAATTCTGTAATGTGTAGTCCTATTTAAGTTCATATATTTGTATTGGTAAAACATGTGTTTTCCTCAGTATCTTGAAATTTATATTGAGATGATTAAACTGGTATACGTTTCCTCATGGGCTGGAATTTTCAGTGTTTTCTTTTAAAACACTAGTGATTGTCAAATACATTGTTTAGAGACCTGAAGATATGGGAGGATTAAAAAAACAACTTACTACTGTTCTCAGAACAGTAGTGGCAAATTTGTTTGATTGCTTTCTTGCAGAGTAAGTCTGTGTTCTGTCTGCCCATTCTTCAGTAGAATATACAGACTGTATAGAATTCTCTATAGATTATTCTTACTAGAAGTCATGTACAACAAGGCTGTACGTAGGAGTCTTTGTTAAGTCAGAGCACACAGATATGCAAATATTTCATACGTGTCCCCTGACCTCAAAACCCTTTGGGGCCCTCTGTGTTTGGAATGCTTTCCTGGGATATCATGTGAAAAGGTCCCACAGACTGAGGTCTCTGTGGGTTCCAAGAAGAGCTAGAATGGAGCTGCCAATTTCCATGCTGTACTTCAAGGGCTGCTTGTGATTTTCCTGGCAGAATACCTGTCAGACAGACTCCTAGGAAACTGCCGGAACCAATATGTAGTCTGTCAACAGAGGAAATGATCTTTTCTTGTGAATTATATTTAAATGGCTAAAATGGCTAGCATGAGATTGTTTTTCTTTCAAACTAAATTATGTAGGTTAAATGAGCAAGAGCTATTAAGCCGTTCAAAAACTGTTGGTGCCTGTTAATTATTTTAGTGCGATGTTAGAAAAATGATTTGAACTATGAAACAACTATCTGTATTCCTTTTATTTGGAGCCCAAAAGTATTATCTCAGTTGTGACCATAAACTTAAAGTAAATGGGAAGAATTACCATACAGTCCATTTCATGAGTTACTACAAGTTTTATTCAAATGAAACCTCACAGTTCTAGAAGTTCTTACTGTTGTCTTTGCTTCACAAGCATATATTTCATTGTAGCATTAATAAGAGAATTGATACCTAAAAAAATGAAAGTATGTTGAAAGTAGATGTTAACTAGCATTGGAGTGTTTGCTGGGCTGGTACTCATAGATGAAGTACTCTTTCCTAAGGTATAAAAGTTTGAAGACTTAGATACTATTTATTCCTCTTCAAAATTTTATTTTTCCGTTTTACATGTACAATTCTAAGAGTTGTGTTTTCATTGGGTTTGTTTTTCTCTAGCTAATGAAATGAAGCAAAATTACAAGATCATGTGTATGTTAGAAAAACGACATAAAAATGATATCAGAAACATAAATAAGGCTGTCAGTGAGTTTCAGAAGAATTTGCAGAAGCCAGAAACGAGGCGTGAATTTGACCTGAATGATCCGCAAGCCCTAAAGAAGGACAGACCTGCTCGAGTTTCAGACGATGATCCTCGATGTACTGTATCTGGCTTGCAGAAGTTTTTGGGTGAAGATTTAAACTATGATCAGAGGATGAAATTTCAAAAGGAGCAGTTAAGAGAGTGGTCTCTTCAGCAACAGAAAGACTTAAAGAATGCATTAGCTGATCAAAAATTTGCAGGTAACAAAGGAAGATAATGAGGTTTTAATCTCCTTTTTCTGAAATTCTGATGTATCTGACAAAAATATGGTTTAGCCCATTGTGTCAGTCTGACATAGCAGTATTTTAGTGTATTCAGTATTTAACTTTTAGAAATACTGCAGCAGTTTTTACTTCACAAGCTGTAATGTATTCAGTTATCACACTTAAGAAGTCTATATTTAATAACATGTGATTGTAATATTTCATTTCTGTTTCATGCCTCAAATGATGTATTGGAGCATGCTGAAAAATCATCTGTATTTTGCATGCCAGATGGTATGTTTACTTCATCAGACCAAATTGTCCAGTTTTTACTGTTCTATAGCAGACCAAATAGTACCAAATTTTCTAGCTTGTCGTGAAACATTTTTTTCTGCAGTACTTATCATACTTTTTCATTTTAACTTCTATACTGTTAAGACAAGATGGGTTACATAATGACTTAATGAGTCATCTGAAATTCCAAGATGGAAAGCTTTGGTGGTAGGATTTGGAAATCCTATGTAATTCAGCCTACGATGCCTGGAACTCCCCTGTCTGTCTCCCTCTCTCTCTTATATTGGCTTACTTCTCTAGCACATTATGTCCAAGAATATTGACTAAATTTAATTCTAATCTAATTTAGATGATCTTCATGACAAATACAGGATTGCACTTGATCAAAAGACTATGGAGCAACAACAGAAAGAAGAAGAAAACAGGCGTGCTGTTTGTGCAGCTACTAAAGATTTCAACAGAAGCCAGGTAAATTAGTGTTGGGTTGGTTGGTTTTGTTGTGTTTTTTTTTTAAGTGGAGACAGAAGTAAACTAAGATGTGCAAGAGTACAATGAGTAATGGTATTTTCACAGAGGTTCTTAGCAGCTAACTACCAAGGTTGCTTTGTCCCCTCCAAGGATCTAGCTATTGTCTGGCTACTTACCCTCTGTCAAAATTCTCCAAGTTCTCAGCTTCCTGACTAGAAGGCAGCAATAGCTCCCCAGTCTTTCAGGGACTTCCAGTCTGTAAACTGAGCAAAACAGCAAAAGCCTCCCATCCTTCCTTCTTGTTTTATATCAGTTGTCAGATTATCTTAGCTGTGTCTGCCTGCTTTTCTTTCTGCTTGGACCCATTGCTACCAGTAGGGTTTTTTGTCTTTATTGAAGTTAATTCCCCTCAGCCACTGTTTTTGGCACTTATTCCTTGATATTTGTGCACGTCTCTTGCTTGTTTACCAAGCATGTTTTGGAACCTGTTGAAACAGGACATGAACTTTTATCTGTCTTAGTACCATTACCTGTCATGCCTCAGTTCTTTACCTTACTGCAAAGATATATTTCATTTTTTTTTATGTGCAGATTATATGCACAGCTCAGAGGGCTACATGGAGGCTTTTAATTTGGTTAAACTGTATTTGGTGTGACTTAGCTTTAAATTTATTTGGTCACGTCAAAATAAGCCATATTAAAATTACCCACATCAACTACAGTATCTTTTTGTTTAAGTATATAAGCATGCAAGTGTAAGTGTTGCTTGAGCCTTTTAGGGAACATTTGGCATATGGTAATTGAAAAGGCTTTTGCTGCTTGAAGTCGTGGCTACTGAACAGTATTTTATATGAATAGCTGCAAAAGTACCCTAAGTGGCTGGTACATTTAGGGTAGCAGTAGTATCCCAAATAATTGTTGTCACATAAATTGATTCCATGGAAAAATTCCTGAATTTGTGATATGGTTTGGGGATAGGGTGGTAGGTCTGTGTGTGGTATGTGTTTTAATGTATGGGCATATACATTCTACACAACTGGTGTGCATTTTAAATATATTCAAAAGTCTTGGTCTGTTTTTTTCTAGTATAAGGGTGTGATAGTAGAGGTTAGGGCAACAGTCTCCTGTTGCTTCTTATTGAAACATAGAAACCAGAGGTTTCAGGTTGCCAGGCCTTTCAGTGATGTTGACTTTAAGAGAAAGCTATGTTATGAAGGGATTTTCTATGCATCTTTTTCCCATGACAGGAAACTAAGGCATTCAGCCTGAGAATGCGCTCCACAGGATAAATCTCTGTATCTGACCTCAAGTGTATTGAACGGGAGTCTCCAGCAGTTTCAGCATTCTGAGCAGCCAGTTTGAAGACCTTAACCTCTTGAGGGTGCAGTCTCAGACTGCATTTTGCTATACACATATCTGCCTTAGCTGTTGGTGGCTGCCAAGAGAGGAACTCCTTTTTCCTGTTCTCTGAGTTTCATTCATTTTTTTCTTCTCTGTCTCTTCCAATTGATCTGCTTCAGGATTGTGATTATGAAGCTTCAGGATGTGTTGGATCATTTCTCAAATCCAAAAGAAAATTAACTGGTCTAGAATGTGTGACTGCTAGATCTGACTGGGAGGTGTGAATGCACAGTCTGAGGTGACAGTAAAGGAGGGGAGAAAGTAACACTACCCTTTCTAAGGCAGTCTTCAGTTATTGTAATTTGGATAAAGTCTAGTATGGGAGTGCATCTTCAGAGAGGAAGAAATTTCCTAGAATTTGACTTTGGATCAGCCACTGTCTCCATGGCCATCCTCTGTAGACCTTACAGTTGCCAGTATCTTTAGGGGGTGTAAAGAATAAAATATTTAAAAATAAATAAAAAAACCCACAACACAACAAACCCAACCAACCAACCAAAAAAAAAAAAAAAAAGGCAAAACAAACAAAACATAAAACACAGCAAGTGATGTACACCAGGAGAAACATGGTTTAGCCAATCTGCTAGTCAGTTAGTGAAAAATCCCAGCAGATGGGTGAAGGTATCTCAGTTCTTCACAGCCTGCTTCAGTACAAGATTTGATGTTGCTGTCCGCTGTGACAGTGGTTCAGCTTCCATACATAGTACCACTGCCAGTGACTTTTTTGCTAAGAAGCTTATCTTAATGGTTCTTTTTGTTCTTCTTGAATTAGTTAGTAGGACAATTAATTGATATATTTGGTACCATATTTCCCAGTAGTGAAGGACCCTGTACTGTGAACATTTTATATGTGTGTGGTTTCTAGAAAATTAATGTTATACTTCTTCTCAGGTTTTCTGTCATCTAAGTATGTATTAACCAGGACACCAATAATGCTTTTGTCCTTGGTATAAGAGAAGACTTCTACTAGCTTAAGCTGTCAGTTATTCCTGCTGAAATTATTCATAAGAAGTAGTAATCATTTTAATTTGGGAAGCTAGGTAACGGAAAGGAAGACTACCTGAAGTCCTGACTAGAAAGTGTATTTTTCACTGCCTTTGATGTGATTCCATAGCAGAATCTTACCATTGCAGAAAGGGTTTCTTCAGAAAGGATAATAACACTTGGAAATGCCCAGTTTAGCAGTACAGTGATAGATACACTGATTGTGTTCTTGAAATCAGAGTCATTTTGGTTTATATAGCACAGGATTTGAATCCTTTCCAAGACACTTTGTAGATAATGCTAAGAAAATGAGAGGATATTATTACAGAGGATCTCTTAATGACATTGTATTTATAGACTTGTTAACAGTCTTATAGACCATATGTCCTTAGAATTTATTCCTGGGCATACCACAATAGCTTAATAACTTTATGATAATGTTGTTATTACAGACATTTGATGGCATTATTCTGGTTCCATATATACTCAACATTACACTGTTATTAACACATTAAAAGCCAGCAGCCACTTCAGGGAAACAATTGTTTTGTTTTGTTTTTTTCAGGCTTTGAGTAAATTATGTATTTGCATTAACTCTAGAGCATTTTTTTCAGTTGAAATGAAATATTTGAATGCCTAAACACAGAATAAGAATGGGAACTTATTGTCATTCTTTGAAGTGTGGTGTGCAAATATCTTTTATCACTTTTATCCTATTCTTCATAGTCACTGTCTAGAATCATCATTATTTCAACTTTTATCACATTTTCAGGCATGAGGGAAAATAGTGCACATACTGATTTTTTAACAGACCTTGCTAAGCAAAATTCCTAGGTTGAATGTGCTGGATGTGCAATTCGCTGCTATGAGATAAGTATCTCATGTAATATGTCTATGTCATGTATAGTATGTCATGTCTATGTATAGTAAATACAAAGGAATTGTATTTACTACACAGATTAATAATACTCTTTCACAAGTGCCTAAGATCCCGGAGAGGTCACTCTGGTCATCTGTGATCTTTGTGCTTTTTCTTTCTGGAGAAATTCAAAACACGCCTGGACACCTTCCTATGTAACCTGCTCTAGGTGGCCCTGCCTTGGCAGGGGGCTTGGACTGGATGGTCAGTCTCCTGAGGTCCCTTCCAACCCTAATGATTCTGTGAAAAGCACTTCAGAAGCCGTGTGTTCCTTTAGTCCAGTGTTGGCAGCAGTTAATTCCTCACACAACTGAGACTGAGGTTGGGCAGAGAAGAGATTCAGAGCAGCCCTGTGGAGAAGGACTTGGGCGTGTTGGTTGATGAGAAACTTAACATGAGCCGGCAGTGTGCGCTCACAGCCCACAAAGCCAACCGCATCCTGGGCCGCATCAAAAGGAGCGTGACCAGCAGGTCGAAAGAGGTGATCCTGCCCCTCTACTCTGCTCTCATGAGACCTCACTTGGAGTATTGTGTGCAGTTCTGGTGTCCTCAACATGGACATGGAGCTGTTGGAACAAGTCCAGAGGAGGGCCACAAGGATGACTGGGGACTGGAGCACCTCTGTATGAAGACAGGCTGAGAAAGTTGGGGCTGTTGAGCCTGGAGAAGAGAAGGCTGTGTGGAGACCTCATAGCAGCCTTCCAGTATCTGAAGGGGGCCTAAAAGGATGCTGGGCAGGGAATCTTCAGTAGGAACTGTAGTGACAGGACAAGGGCTAACAGGTTAAAATTTAAACAGTGGGAGTTTAGATTGGATATAAGGAAGAAGTTCTTTGCTGTGAGGGTGGTGAGGCACTGGAATGGGTTGCCCAAGAAGTTGTGAATGGTCCATCCCTGGCAGCGTTCAAGGCCAGGTTGGACAGAGCCTTGGGTGAAATGGTTTAGTGTGAGGTGTCCCTGCCCATGGCAGGGGTGTTGGAACTAGATGATCTTAAGGTCATTTCCAACCCTAACTATTCTATAATTCTATGGCTTGGTGTTGTTACAAGCATGTGAATTCCTGTTAATTCTTCTATGTGCATTTCTTCTTTTACTTTATGACTTGAATCTAACAGCAAAAGGAAGCGTTTAGTAGTAGGGAAGATGTATAATGTTGGATCATAAATTAAAATAAATGAGTGTGTATTTGTGCATCTCTTTGGTTTTGTTTTGTTTTCTTTCCATGCTACGCCAGTGGATTATATTTTATCAGGGATTCCACTTGAAAAGTGAAATCTGATACATTTTCTGAGTTTAAAATCTTTTGTTTGTGGTGTCATGGCTATGTGTACAGCTGAGAGTTTCCTCCAGTAAGATTTCCAGGCAGTTCAGAAATTTTAGGCTTTTCCTCTTACTGAGAAGGTTAGGGTTACAATGTGTCAATGCTTTTTTTTTTTGATCTATTGCTAGATCAAAGTGCATTAAAATGATCTAAATAAAAATTATACATTTTCAGTTTCAGGGTCAATAATTCTGTAAGGTCTATCCAAAATTACTTTAAGTGTCATTTACTCTGGAATGTTTTCAGAACTAAAAATAATTGCTTGTTTCATAGTATTAATAAGCTACAAGTACATACCCCTATGTTCTGGTTCCATGTTCCCAAAATATTGGATGATTGAAAATCTTTGAGGGTTTTGTTTTTTTCTTGGAAGCTGTAATGTTGTAGTTCCTCTCAAGTTATTATCGACTCTTCTGGAGGAAAAACCCAACTTCAGGGAAACACATTTTGGTTTAAAAGTGTAGCTTTAAAGTTCTGGTAAAAAAATATACTCACTGACTTCAATGAGACGAAAACATGGCCTTTAGTTTCCAAGGTATTATTCCATGTTATGATGGCAGAGCCAGTAATTATTAGATCTGAAGTTGATGCTTTGCCACTTGAAATTTTACTTGCTTGTTTTTCCACTTGTCTAAAAGTAGACATTTTATTTTCCTGCTCCAAAGTGTATGTTCCTATTAGATGGCTGTTAAGTATTTTTAAGTATGAGGTTTTCTGCATCATTGAAGTTGCAGTTGTGGCTTAGGTAATTTATACTTCTAAAAATAATAGATGTATCTTTTATTAGTTTCTTTGTGCATCAGATACTTTTGTTATTTTAATGGAAACCACAAGGCTGTTTTCAGCCATCAAATTTATTAATCTAGGATACAGTTCTCGGTGTTATTTGTTATTTCTTCTTCTGAACGGTCCCTGACAGGTTGTGCATGTTGGCATGGAACAAATAGAAGTCACACTTTGACTATTCAGGCTTGATGCCTGGGACAACTCCTGTCATCCAAACTCAAAGTCTGTAAATATAAATGTAGAGAGAAAGCCAGGTCAGCAGTCTCCTCTGGTGGCATAGATCAGTGTGCTTGCTGAGGGTTCTACTCCATAATGTTTGTTTATCTCTTCTAGTTACTCTGCCTACTGTTTTTCAACTTCACCTATATGCCACAGAACGCTATTTTTACCTACTGTGACTTCTTGATGCCTAAGCCTTAATTTTTCATTTGTCCTCATCCATTTCCTAAGTGTGTATGCCAAACAGTGAACTGCTAATTGGCAAGAAAAGTGGACAGCTGTTGTATTTAACTCATACAGTGAGTATTCTCAAGCCAGTGATTTTTTTTTTTTTTTTAACAGAGCATGAGATAATCTTGGGCAAACTTGGAGAGAGAGGTATTCACTGATCTGTTACAGTCAAGGTAAATGTGTGAAGCTACGTATGTGAGACACAGGTCTGGTAACCTGTGCTTTTTGAGCCCTGGCAAAGAGGAGATTAGCTGTCTGCTGTCCAGATGGAAGCGAGCACCATACATTTTTCCAGATGGTTTACCTCATGCATTACAGAAGAATGAGACATGATTAGAAATGGATGATGCATATATATTGTCACTGTACTTCAAATTAGTTTACTTAATCAAATTCTTCTTTGGAAGGTAATTTAAAGTAAAATCACCATATTTGGTTTCTGGAGTTTTGCCAAGGGGAAAACTTCCTCTGAATAGGAGGCTATGAACTCATAGTGGTCATTAGGGACAGTGTTTTCCATAGGAAGTGCATATTGTGATTTCTGGTACTACAGATCATCATTCAAGTTTGCATTTTCTGTCGGCAAAGAGAACAGATTCAAGGCTGCCTCTTCAGGCTTCACATAGACATCACTTTTCTGTTTGGATGTTCTGAGTGCTTAACCATACTCTTCACATAGATTTAATATCTAATATAGAATCATAGAATAGTTAGGGTTGGAAAGGACCTTAAGATCATCTAGTTTCAATCCCCCTGTCATGGGCAGGGACACCGCCAGGGATGGAGCATTCAAAAAATCTTGGGCAACCCATTCCAGTGCCTCACCACCCTCACAGTAAAGAACTTCTTCCTTATATCCAATCTAAACTCCCGCTGTTTAAATTTTAACCTGTTAGCCCTTGTCCTGTCACTACAGTTCCTACTGAAGATTCCCTGCCCAGCATCCTTTTAGGCCCCCTTCAGATACTGGAAGGCTGCTATGAGATCTCCACAGAGCCTTCTCCAGGCTGAACAGCCCCAACTTTCTCAGCCTGTCTTCATACAGAGGTGCTTCAGTCCCAAGTCATCCTCGTGGCCCTCCTCTGGACCTGTTCCAACAGCTCCATGTCCATGTTGAGGACACCAGAACTGCACACAATACTCCAAGTGAGGTCTCATGAGAGCAGAGTAGAGGGGCAGGATCACCTCTTTCGACCTGCTGGTCACGCTCCTTTTGATGCGGCCCAGGATGCGGTTGGCTTTGTGGGCTGTGTGCACATGCTGCAGGCTCATGTTAAGTTTCTCATCGACCAACACCCCCAAGTTCTTCTCCGCAGGGCTGCTCTGAATCTCTTCTTTGCCCAACCTGTAGCTGTGCCTGGGATTGCTCCGACCCAGGCGTAGGACCTTGCACTTGGCATGGTTAAACTTCATGAGGTTGGCATCAGCCCACCTCACAAGTGTGTCAAGGTCACTCTGGATGGCATTCCTTCCCTCCAGGGTGTCAACCGAAACACACAGCTTGGTGTCATCAGCAAACTTGCTGAGGGCTCACTCAATCCCACTGTCCATGTCAGCAACGAAGATGTTGAACAAGACCAGTCCCAACACCGATCCCTGAGGGACACCACTCGTTGCTGGTCTCCAGCCAGACATTGAGCCATTGACCACAACTCTTTGCGTGTGGCTATCCAGCCAGTTCTTTATCCACTGAGTGGTCCACCTATCAAATTAATCTCTCTCTGATTTAGAGCCAAGGATGTCGTGTGGGACAGTGTCAAACATTTTGCACAAGTCCAGGTAGATGACATCAGCTGCTCTACCCCTGTCCATCAGTTCTGTAGCCCCGTCATAGAAGGCCACCAATTTGGTCAGGCGGGATTTCCCCCATGCTGGCTGTTACCTAGCACCTTGTTGTTTTTCATGTGCCTTAGCATGCCCTTCAGGAAAATCTGCTCCAAGATTTTGCCAGGCACAGAGGTGAGACTTTCAAGGCCACTGATTCAAGTTTGTGAACTTTTATCATAAATTTTTTCCATATTGTGTCTGGCCTCCAAATATCCAAACTGGTATTTGCTTGTCGGTAAATGTGAAATTATTTTTTATTAATCCTGTCTTTTCTTAAAAACCAAAATTATTTCTCCCCAAATTACTTGCTATTTGTGATACGACAATACAGAAGAAATGTATGCCATTAGATTTTTTGATCTTAGCCAGTAGTACCATAATCATAGTGATGCTATTGACAACTGTATGCAAGTTGGAAAGAAACCTGTTATGAAGTGCTGACTTTGTTGATGCCTTTGTTTCCTTCTTGGAAAAACTCTTACTTCTCTCACTCACTCTAGGCTGCTGAACTAGCTGAGAAAAAGAAGTTGGAAAAGTATCAAAAAATGAAAGATGACATGAATGAAATTTCCAGCCTCCTTCAAGGAGACCTACTTTCTGAAAATCCTGACCAAGCAATCAGTTCCTTTGGCACACATCGTGTGATCACAGATCGATGGAAGGGAATGAATCAGGATCAGCTGAGGGCAATCCGTGATACTCAACAGCAACAAGTTCTGGAGAAACTGGTATTTAAGCTTACTTGCACATTCTGTATTCCTGGTTGTAATAATAGACAATGTTTGTAGAAGAAAATATTATTGCTTGCCCTGTGTGTCCCATTGTAAGACTATTTTCCTTTGAGATGAATTTTACCCAAATGAAACTGAACACAGTGTCTCTGAAGCGGCTGGGAAATGTCATGGAGTATCAGAAGTGGGCTGGAGCACTGGAGTTGTGCTGGGAGGAAGGTTGCTGTGCAGCCCAGAGTGAAGGGACCTGGCGATCTTAGGACATGTTCTGTGGTGGCTTAGCTGAGGAGAAAATTCTTTCACAGCCCGAGACTAGGCTTCATGGTGCAGCTCAGGAGTGGACGAGACTGCATGAGCTGCCTACAAGGAATGAGAGGAGTGGGCTGCTCCATAGGTGAAGAGCCATGAGCAGTGGCTGAAGGCAGGGCAGACCAGAGCAGTGTTCTCATGCTCAGGGGCTCAGGGGTGCTCAAGCAAGACAAATAGAGCAGGTCCAATGATACTGCTCATGCACTTTTCACAGTCTTAAAAGTTCATAAATGTGAAAGAATTTCTTTTCTACTGTCCCACACGACTGTGAGCCATGCTCTGGGATAGAATTACAAGAGAAAAACTAAATATTGCCAAAAAATTGCTGCTCTAAAGGTGAATGGAAGCAGGCAGTCAAAATGAAGAAACCTATTGTTCCTGTGCAGACATGAGCATACAGGCCTAGGTATTGTGAAGTAGGAAGCTACTGCTAGATAAGACATTGAGTGCAGAGGCTGGATTCATAACAGCTAATATGTAGCTGTTGATTTTTGATTTCTTAATCCCTAAAGTGCCCTATGCTGCACTATGTCTTATCTAGTGCTGTAATTTAACGATGAAGATAAGGGAGTTGTTTTCCTGGCTTTCCTGTGACCCTAAAGTAAGCCCATTCAAGCAGTTAAGCTAGCAGAAAATGAGCCCCTCCAAGAAAAGGGAGTTTTTTGCAGCCTGGTTTCTTGAATCAGTTCAGTATGATGTCAGACAAGAAGTGAGGAAGTGATAGTGTAACAGGGGCAGAGGAAAACAATTTGGGTCTACTCATCTGGCATCGGTGGCTCAGTTATTACACCATGTTAGCTGTATTACAAACCATACTGATGTCTACTAACTTCTGACCTCAAGAAGTTACAACTCTTGCTAATAAAAACTTTAAAAAAAAACACAAACCAACCTGTCTTGCTGCTCTGGGTTTTTTGAGAGACGTCATACATTAGAGAGGACTACTGATTGATTAACTTCTGCTAGGCAGCAAACCCTAATTTTCTTGTGCAGAGGTAGGAGTCTGTCTTGCTCCCTAGAAAAGGATGGCTTTCTCATCTGCAGTATCCTACTTCCACATAATGCATGAGCTCCCACCTAGCTTGGAAGTGCTTTTTCTTCCTATTTCAAATGCTACCCCTAGTGTTCAGTAAAGGCAAGCAAGTTTGTGAGGAATATACCAATCAGCCTTTATATATACTGTTTCATCTTTGAACAAAGAGAAAATTAAGCATTTTTTTTTCATTCCTGAAGAGACGAAACCAGGAGGAACGCCGAGTTGATGCTGAATGGGACAGGCAAAGAATACACACTGCAAGAGCGCAGCTGATTTTAGAGCGGCATCTACAACGACAGAATCGGGAACGGCGCCGAGCTTTAGATAACATGAATGCAGACATGTCTCAGGAGCAGAAATCAAAGTAGGTACCAGAGGAGTTTTCTTCTTTTCAAATAAAATTCTTTACCGTTAACACAGTACCTTGGCTTTCAAAGAGCTTTTTCACTTGTATTGATTGTAACTTTTTTAATACTCTTGTTACAACTTTATACTTGAAAGGAAAAAAAGAACAATTCAGCTTAAGTGTGGTTTTCAGTACTATTTAAATAGTCTTCAAAGAGTAGCTTATGATTTTTACTGACTTACATGTATGAATTAATAGTTGGAATTCTTAAAAGTGTTCCACTGACAACAGATGGTTTATGTAGATAGCAAAACAGAGAATAAATACAGTTGTCTATGTAGGAAGTTTATTTATCAGGTGTAAAACAGTATGTATTTCTTAAATTTGCCTTTGTTTTCTGAAACAAAAAAGGATGGGCATCAGTAGAACTGCCAGTTTTTGATAGCCCGGAACAAAATGGAGCTTTTCCATTTGTGTATGACAAAACTGTGCGATTCTTTAGCTAAGAGCTGGACATGCCTTGGTGGACAGGTCTTGTGTCTGCTGTAATGGGAAAGGAGGAAGATAATACGTGAAGGAAAAAAAACTCCAGGTGATTCAGTCTTCTCTGGTTTTGATTTTGTTTGGTTGTTTCTTTTTTCCCCAAAATGCATGCATACATTGGTTTTACAAAAGAATTTCCAGTACCTGCTGCTTTCTTCTTATGAAAGCAAAATTCGTAATTGTGTTAATTTATTTTTTCACTGTGAGATTTTTCAAAGGTTATTTTAGGATTGAAAGAAGTTTCCTATATTGAGATGTGGCATACATTTTGGAGGGAAAGACCTAGTTTATTGAATTCCATTATTAGTTCTGAATTTTATAATCATTTATGAGTGTTTATGCATAACATCTTCAAGTTTCTCAGGTTACTTCTATATATCATAATGAGAAAAAATTTACTAACTGCATTTTTTTTTTAATTTATTGCCAGGAACATTTATCTTAAAGAAGAAGAATATTCAAATTATCCAACAGACGAGTATTTCGCACAGTTTAATACAACTAGCCGATGACATTCTGGGTAAATCAACCTGAAATATAGAGAAGTATGTAGACGTATTAAAACTGTTATTTGAGCAATCCCATGTTTTTTTATTTTTAACTGTTTCCTACCCTGTGCAAACAGTGCACTCAAATTAAAGGAGAGTCTGCTAGGCCACATGTGTTCTAAGAAGAGGAAAACACTCCTAATTTTTAAACTTGACTGCTTTTCTAACGAAGTGCTAATAGTTCAGTAGTAGGTTGTTTGACTGTTGTGTCTCAGGCTTAACTGTGAGGTTTACATTATCCATGCCTTTGGAAATCCATTTCTGTAAAGGAATCCCAGTTTAAAATGTGATGCTACTTTATGCACTTGGGCAGAGGGGAATGCTGCCTGACATGGATCACAAGTGGTGCACACTTAGCAGATTCTATGGGAGGGAAGAAAGATGACCTAGGCAGAAAGTTTTGGGGTTGTTTGCTTGGGGGCTTTTTGTTTTGATTTTCTTTTTAGGTTTTGGTGTTGGTTTTTTTTTTTGTTTGTTTTTGGTTGGTTGGTTCATTTGGTTTGGGTTTTGGATATGTTTGGGGTTTTTTTAAGTAAAAAAATATCCAGCCAGACACAAAAGCAAGCAAAGAGAAAGAAATGGAGAAGTTGGTCAAAATTACTGCTTTTATTTCCTGAATATTAGGAGTAAGAAGAGAAGATTTTGACAATTACCCTGGTGGTTATAGCAGGGGCATGACACAGAAATGGAATGTGGGTAATAGTAAGTAGGGAAAAGAATGAGGGAAAGTATTGCTGCATACACTGCCACTCATTAGAAATAACAGAGAATATTTAAGGGCAGTGTGCCTCCGAGGGAAAGTGTAGGAAGAGTTTACAGATGTGATGGAAGGTGGACAGAAAAGGAATCAGGCATGCACCAAACAAAATCAAGGAGAAAAATCTCGGCTTGTGCACAGTACTTCAGGGAAAGAGTTTCCTTCCTAGCTTCATGGTTACAGAATTTATTTAGCAATGGAAGAGGCAGTCAATGGTATTTGAAAAATGAGCAAATAAAGCCCATGGGAAGAAAATATGGAGAATCAATGTAAGAAACTAACTGCACAAGAGAAATGGATGATGGAGATAACGAAAAAATGAAATCCAGAAAGGAAAGCGATGACGTACAGGTGACTGGAAAAAAGATTAGAAGACTTAGTGATCTAAAACAGGAAAAAGAATGAGAGAGAGATGAGAGATTCAGCTAAACATCCAGAACCTCTAGGACTGTCAACCCTTAATAAAAATAGAGAGGCCATATATGAGAATAAATCTTAAAGTAAGTCTGTGTAGCTTTCCAGAATCTGGAATGTAAACTTGGGGTAAAAACATCCTGTTGACATTGGCATACAGTCTGCTGGCTTTTCTTTGCATCAGGATAAGTGGTAACAATTCTGGTGAAACAGGTTGAAGATGACTATGCCAAGCTAAGTAGAAAAGGCATTTAAAAAAACAGAGGCTGAGGTAAACTCTAATGAGTTATTCTCATCTTTGTAAAAATAATGAAGACTGTATGGTTCTCAAGATTATTAGGAGGATTTTGAGATGTTTGAAGGAAGAATTCCTTGAAAGGGGACTGTTTAAACAGGTCTGTTTACTTTCCTTGAAAGGGAGCTCTTTCAAAAGAGGTCTGCTTGCTCAGCTGAAATAGTGGCCCTGTGGGATCAGGCTGATAGGCCTAATTACCATTCTGAACCAGGTGATAACAACAGGAGTTTGGAAAAGACCATCATTAATTCCTCTAAATGGAGAGGAGGAAGAAAATCAAGGAAAACATGAAAAGGGATAAAAAAGTGTCTTGGGACAGGATAATCTATAGCAAAAAGATATGTCCTAATTTTACTATATTAATACAACTGGAACTAATTGCAGTATAGATAGAAATAGGTAGAAAATCAGCATTGCTGGAGAACAGGAACTGAAGAATGGGCTATTCAGAAAAGCTGGAAGATAAAGCTGAGAGAGGATCACACTTGCATTGTTAATGATGAGCCAGACTACAAAGAAGTAAGAAGGGATCGTATTCAAGAGATTCTCATGTGTTAGCATTTGGAGATCCAGTTATTTGTCAGACTGGGATTCACACATGGCTGGATGTCTTTGTAGTATTAACAAATACTGTATTGAATTGGTAATCTCAGTTCAACCACAAGTTGGTTTGTATCTGCATTGAATATTTCAGGCTCTGATTTTTAATTTTTTTTTTTTAACTAACAAAAAAACTAATAAAGTGTTGAAAAATTCATGAAGTTGTCTTCTTTTGTCCACCTTTATACGAGTATGTGTTTACAGCTGTACAGTTTTAACATACTGATGGACCTAGTCAGATGACATTTTTATTCCTTAAGGAAGGACTGTATGATTAAAGCCTTTTTATATTTACCTACTTGCTAGCATAAAAACTTTTTATGTGAATTTACAAAAATGATAAATTTCTCAGTTAAACTATGAATAGGCCTTAGATAGAAATTCAAGTAAGGAGACTCTGCCAATTCAATAATTGGGTAGGATCAGCCATCACTAAATTCCATGGAAAACTTTTAGCATAATCAGTCATATTTGCAAGAGCAACCATACTACATTCTATTTGTTTCAGAATGCAAAACCTGAAATTTATTTTGAATGTTAACAAAAAAGCACAGTCAAGTTGTAGAAAACATGCCTAAAATAAAGTGAAAAAGGTCAGATTGTTGTTGATATTTTATGCCAACTTGTTTTATTTTGCATGGAAACAATTCATATTTTCAGTAGACGTATCTCAACATAGTAGGTGACTTCTCAAACTTATTTGGTTCTATAACAATAAAGATGTGGACTGGTATTTTCAGCTTTTGAAATGTCACACTTACGGGTGAATACTGAAATAAGTAGACAAGATGTATCAGAGAAGCATTAACAGATAGTAGGTGCTGTTTGAAAATGTTTGTTGGCTTCCATTACTGAGGTGTTTGTTTTTTTTTGTGGTATCTGTTACTTAATCACAAATTTAATTTACAAATCAACATGGCAAATTACTCATAGACAAAGGGACACAGATTTTAAAACTGGAAAAAAATAGTTTCTAAATTGGGAGAAAAAAATCAGTTTCTGAAAGAATAAACTGCATGTTACTAAGTTTTACTAATTTTCCTGCTGCAAAGACAAAATAAATTTTATTTGCAGCTACTAGTGAAACATTACTAGTATTTTCTTCTTATCTAATGTTACTTCAGTAATGCTAATAAACAAAAACAAAAGCATTTAGTGACGGAATGTTCATTCCTGGCCCTGTAATACAACAAAATTGTACTTTGCATTTTTGAAGCAAGAAAATAACCTCTATGAATTAGGGAAAAATCTACTGTTCAGTCTGTTCCAGTAAATTGTATGTGTGGTTTCTGTCATACAGTGTTGCAGTTATTAATGGAGTGAAATGCTTTTCAGATAACAGCACATGAAAGCAGGAAAAATTGAGTATCTGGTAGACGTTCTACTCAATGAAAGGCTGATGACGTAGTATGAGGAGTACTTCAGTTGACTGTTTAATCAGGATAGATGCTGCTTTTGGAAGCAGAACTTTATCTAAATATGAATTTAGCTTATTAGTTTTTAGTTTATTAAATAGATATTGCTACTCTTCTGTAAATTTCTGTTGCTACAGATCTATAGCTGTGCCTATTGCGTGAATCTTTGAATAATTTTTCAGTACTTTTTTTTTATTACTATAGTTATTACATGGGACTTCATTGCACAGCCAGACATGTTACTAATGTACTGATGTACTATGTACTATCTGTGTTCTGTGCGGTTGACTTCAGAAAGATACTTTTTACTGCAGTTTAAAGCCATAGTTCTTCTTGATTACCTGTCAGCCAGGAGGATTGATCAAAACATGTACAGGAGACTAGTTATGAAAAGTGAGTACCGTTTGAATATATATTTGTCTCAGGTCTAGAGAACTATGCACTAGTTACTTCACTGATGCATGAGTATGGCAAGAGTATTTGCCAGTCAGGAAAGGAAGAATTACTGTTAAATTTTTTTTTGCTATTGATGCTCTTAACTCAGAAATGCAGTGCTGCTTAACAAAATTATAGTAAACTCTCACCCTGAGAAATCCAGTTCCTGTAGCTTCTTACTAGCAATCCTAATTCTTCACAGAAGAAACCACAAAAATGTTGCCTGTAAAAGAAACCACGGAAAATAAACAGCAGCCACTAGACGTCATAGTAAAAGTTGCCCAATTGCAGTTAACACAGCAAAAAATACTCATGCTAAGCTCCAAAACCTAATAGCCCCCTTCTTTCTATACATAGAAAAGATGGATAAGGGTAAGTAATTCTTTTGTAATATTATATGATCTAATCTAATTATGCCATTTTGCAATAATCCAAGAGAGTGGAAATACTGAGGATACAGATACATCACCATCACTGAAACTTGAAAGAAAACAGGACTCCAATATGTGCTCTGGCTTTCTTAAAAGTATTTGCTGTTACAAGTGGTGCTGTTTGAAACATGTTAAAAGAGTACTGTAAGTACTAGCTATCTATAACACAACATATAAAAAGGAAAAATTGCTTTGAGATTTATCAAATTTTATGTGACCTTTTTCCATCAGTATAATTTAAGAGTTAATTCATATCACTTCCTTAATTGAAAATGCTAGGAAGGAACGAGGATTGAAAAGTAATGCATATACAGGAAAAACTGACAAAGAAATGGCCAGCTACATAAAAACACTACCATTTTTTTAAAGCAAAACATTTCTTTGGTAATATTAAAATATTAGTTACTATTTTAATGCCTGTCACTGGCAATTAAATTATATTAAAATAGATGTCATGAAAATCAGTTCAAATACTTGAAAGCAATGACACTGCTTTGGAGTCAGGATGAGTGAGGACATAGATGTGAAAACAGTGAAACTCATGAACAGTTTAATACCATAGTATATGAGAAAACTCAGGTAAAAGAAACTGTGCAGATACATAATATTTGGAGTTTGATTATTTTACCCATTTGCTACTCTACTCAGCAGTTTCCAGCAAACCATCTAGCTGGAAAATGCTGTCTGTCTTACCACATGCAGAAGGATCTGTTGTCATTTCCCAGGTTCAAGCTCCTGCTGGGAAAACAGTCCAGTCAAGCAATGAACAGTTTGAATTGTAAGTTTTTGGGAGATTCAGGTCTTCCTATATCTGTAGTTATCTGAGTCCAGCTGAGAGATGTGAGTACCAAGTCTAGACTCAGGATAACTGAAATTGCAGTGGATCAAGGATTTTAGCCTACTACTGTATATATGAGTTTATAATGTGTAAGTGTAGATACACACACATACACATAAATGAAAGTGAAATTTTCAAAGTTTAGCTCCTGCTGACTTAAAAAGAAAACAACAAAAAGAATACTATGCTTTCCGGCAGGATGGCCAGCAACACAGCTCATTCCAACAGAGATCATAAGCTTTTTTTCTACAAAGAAAATGTTTTTCATTGGAAGCTCAAATGACTGAAGAATGAGATTCTTCCAAGGGTAGCCAAGTGTTATACAGCTGCTGTAGAGATGGAAAATAGCTTATTTCAGCTATGAACTGCATTAAGGCATGGTCTAAAGGCTCTTAGCTTTTCTATTTTTGAGAGCTTAGTAATGTATAACGTTTCTTACAAACCTGAGAGTATTAATCATGTATGGCTCAAATAAGTGATCTCTGGTGGCGTATACCTATGTATGTTTAAAAGGTATATAATATGTGAAAACCTAACTTCTGAGTGGAACCAAAATTTCATCCAGTATCTTTTCCAGTTGTTTTTTGCTTTGTTCTGCCCCTCTCCTCAATAAGCTCTGCATAAGGCTTAAAAAGGTAGGTATATTTTATATAAGCAAAAAAGAGATGACATTACAAGAACCTCATGCGTTAGGTTACCCGTATCAAATGATGAAAGAACATGTGAAAAGTTAAACACACAAACATAAGAAAAAGGTTGTAAATGCTTTGCTTTTACAGACCTGTGTTGCATTCTAAGATCTAGAAAGAATAGGCAACAGACCTAAACAGTCAGCAAATGGCAGTACAGTAAAAATGCAAGAAGCTCTTTTAACAGATTTGAAAAGTCAATGAAAAATCTCTACAGGTTTCAAAAAGCCACTAAATTAACATGAGCACTAATACTGCTAATAGGAAAAAACTTGTCATATAATGTATATTTCAGTTTTAAAAGCTGAAGAACACTTTGTTCTCATTTAAAAAGTGTTTGCTTGCTGCACGTTTTAGTTAGCAAAATTGTGTGTGGATATGAAAATTATAGAGAGAATCATAGAATAGTTAGGGTTGGAAAGGACCTTAAGATCATCTAGTTCCAAGCCCCCTGCTATGGGCAGGAGCACCTCGCACTAAACCATCTCACCCAAGGCCTCGTCCAACCTGGTCTTGAACACTGCCAGGGATGGAGCATTCACAACCTCCCTTGGCAACCTATTCCAGTGCCTCACCACCCTTACAGGAAAGAATTTCCTCCTTATGTCCAATCTAAACTTCCCCTGTTTAAGTTTTAACCCATTACCCCTTGTCCTGTCACTACAGTCCCTAATGAAGAGTCCCTCCCCAGCATCCCTATAGGCCCCCTTCAGATGCTGGAAGGCTGCTATGAGGTCTCCACGCAGCCTTCTCTTCTCCAGGCTCAACAGCCCCAACTTTCTCAGCCTATCTTCATATGGGAGGTGCTCCAGTCCCCTGATCATCCTTGTGGCCCTCCTCTGAACTTGTTCCAACAGTTCCATGTCCTTTTTATGTTGAGGACACCAGAACTGCACACAATACTCCAGGTGAGGTCTCATGAGAGCAGAGAGGCAGGATCACCTCTTCAACCTGCTGGTCACACTCCTTTTGATGCAGCCCAGGATGCAGTTGGCTTTGTGGGCTGAAAGTGCACGCTGCCGGCTCATGTTCATTTTCTCATCAACCAGCACCCCCAAGTCCTTCTCCGCAGGGCTGCTCTGAATCTCTTCTCTGCCCAACCTGTAGCTGTGCCTGGGATTGCTCTGACCCAGGTGTAGGACCTTGCATTTGGCATGGTTAAACTTCATGAGGTTGGCACTGGCCCACCTCACAAGCATGTCAAGGTCACTCTGGATGGCATTCCTTCCCTCCAGGGTATCAACCAAACCACACAGCTTGGTGTCATCGGCAAACTTGCTGAGGGCTCACTCAATCCCACTGTCCATGTCAGCAATGAAGATGCTAAACAAGACCGGTCCCAACACG